CCAACCACCAGACACCAAAAACACAAAAAATTACAACCAGCATAATAATAACAACCAACGCGAAACCCAACACAAAAAACAAACAAACATGGTAACTCCTGTTGCCGTACTGCCGGGTTTCAGGGGAGGGAGTCAGTCTCCGCAGGTGGAAAAGTAGTGCCAAACATGGGTCGTCAAGCGTCACCACCACAGCTCCAGAGTGTGGCAGCTGTGCGGCTACACAAGAAGAGAGATGACCAACCCTACAGAAGTTATCGTGGCACAACAGAACCTGCGTCACGTGCAAACGAACACACACACAAAAAAAAAAGATCCCCAGAGCTGGCTAACTCCAAAATGGATTTACACTGGAAAGAAGTTGCCTTCTTAGTAATGCGTCCCACATTATCGTCAGTGTTATTATTGTACGTTGAACCACATTTCCCCCCCCCCTTACAGGGGTGTGTGTGTGTGTGGATGGGGGGGTGTTCTTTCACATGCTTGGTGAGCCCACACAAAGGAACACTAAAAAACAACATCAAAATCTAAAAAAAAACGTATAAAATGCACACTGGAAAGAAATGAAACTAATGGGAATATGTCAAGAGTGTAAGGGGAATGAACATACCATTTATCCACGCACACCTCAGAAAGTAGACAAAAACGAATTCCACACCACCACTGCATGCGCCTCCAGCACGTAAGAAAAAAAAATGATGAGGTGGGGGAAACCGTGTTACCAACAACACAACAATAGGGGCAAAAAGACGACTCTTTTCATCATGAATCCTGAAAGAGGTTTGGCTCCTCCATGGTAAGCGTTTCCTGCACTTTTTTCAGCACATTATCCACCAAATCCTTCCGAAGTGAGAGGACAGACACATCGAATTGTGCACAAACGGGCCGATGATCGGATTGTCGCAGTGCCTGAATATGATGATAGTCGATAACATGCATACTATTCGGAATCATTGGGAAAACCATAAAACTTTTGTCTATGCATGTCGATCGCCGTGCAGAAAGAAACGTTGCCAAAGAATGTGTCTCACCGCAAAAAATTCCAGTTTGCGTCGGAGAGGAGGTCGTCAGAGCTTGCGTCTTCAGCTTTGACGTAACCTCTGGGTAACAGTTCCGCACATTCACATTTGACAGCGCGGAATCTGATTTTCCAAGCAACGACACCGTACTTTTGCTGCTCAGAGAATAGGGAGATAATTGGAGTAAAGTGACATCATCAGATTGTGTGAGAAGCGGTTCATGCACGCCAACTTTGGAAAGCGTAAACTCAGACAAGGAGCGCGTTAATCTTGGGCCGTCATGTGAAAAAGACCTGTGCAAGGGGTCAATCGATCTTCTGGTTTGTGTCTTAACGGCAGCCCATTGATCACTATCACCATTATCATCCTCAGTATCACTGTCGTAGATGTCGTCAGATTCCTCACAGGGAAGGCAGACGCGGAAGAGAATGCGATCACACCATGCAGGATCACGCTTCTTTCTACTTGTGTCATACAAATCAGTCTCGTGGTCAAATTTGTACGTAGGAGGAAACGCTATGAGGGCCTCTTGAAAGCCATCAAAGGTATCGCCACTGATCATTCCCTGCCGTATCTCGTCGTAACAGATAAGTCGATCGAACTCGCCTTTCCGGACAAGGCGACGAATGTCGTTGCCTTTGACACCATGCAGACGGGAATTTAAGTCACCAAGAAATAATACATAGTCATACTTATCCAGCACTTCTCTCTCCAACAATGTGGATGAGGAGAGACGAAGCTTTCGAAGGAGAGGAGACAACCTGGAACGGCTCTCAACAGAATCTTGCCCCATACTAAAATCGCTTGCAGCGCTAAAAGTCTGGAACACATCCATTTCATCATCCACATCTGCTGGCAACTGAAAGCATAGCTCCTTCAGCGAGGCATGATAATTAAGGGTACGGGCACGCTCATTATGTTTGTGTGCTACGAAATGTGCGGCAATGAAAAGAAACCTTTTACCGTATATTGTGGCCCGAATACCGAGAGATCCCTTGTTTCCCCACACACCTTTCATTGCACCTGTTCTTGTGAGCGAGGCACGAACATTTGAGACGTAATTAATATGCTTACAGCGCACCGCAACAATTAGCACAAGTCCCACAAGCTGCAACAACTTCACCCTCCTGTACCATACTCGATGCTCACTAATTTTATTTAAGGCATCTACGATGGCCTCGACCCACATGACTCCCGTTTCGGTGTATTCCCGTACGAGAACAATTCCACCCATTTCTACTTCTTGTAGAGTGACAATCACAACATCAGGAAACTCGGCAATCGGAAAACGAGGCTTGGTATTATCGTCGTCACCTGAAGCATGATACGCAGTTAGTTTTTCCATCAATTGCCTCCCTAACAGCCACTCATAAAACCCATTGTTCCTGGTGGGTGGCGGTTGCCGGTCCACGTTCCAAGTACAGGCATGTACACGGAGAGTCCTCTGCATACCTTCAATCCTCTCCGTTTTTAACGATTGACGAATGATCCAATTGGCCTGAAATCGACGCTGCGCTGCATCACTGGTTCGAGTAGAGGACACAGAATAATTGCTTTCACTTTCTGCAGCGGTCGCAGAGTCAAATCGAAATCGTGGTGTGGATAATTTAAAACCTTTGGGTGTTGTCCAACCGCATTGCTCATTGCCCTTCCGGCCCTCGTGTGGGAAATCGTCATCTTTTTTAAACGCGGCATGGGAGTCACGGTCCTGTGTGACCCTGGCGGTAGTATTTCCAAAAAATAGGAGCATAAAGAAGTAACGAATTATGGCAAACAACGACATAATGCAAGCATTGATTCTAGAAAATAATGACCTGCCTCCGTCGCGAGCTGCAGCCACTACATTGACATCTGAATCCTCGAGACTACTACGATCACTACTGCCGCTACTACTATTACCGCTGCCTCCATAGCGGTGGGTACCACTACCACTTTGATGTGAGTTATCACTAGTGCTCCCCGTCATCTCACGTTCCACTTGAAGAAGCGAAGAGGCCTTGGCAGACGAGATGCCATGGGCGCAGTTTCGATGGGAGACTTCCGTTGGTGTTTCTTTCCTCATCCTTACTACGCAATTTGTATGAACTCTATATATTTTCCTTCCCTTTTCGGTAGCTTCCTTGGAATGCATGTGATATTAAAGAACACGGCGGCAAAAAAGACAGTGGAAGACATCACAACAAAATAATGATGTATCAGAGAAGCAAAAACAAGAAGTCAAAGGAACCTCGCACACCATTGCAGTGCCCCCCTTTTTTCCCCGTACCCATTCAGAAAAAAAGGCACGTATAAATGAAGAAAAAAAAAGCATCAGAAACAAGGCGTCGCGTTCCCAAAATGAATAAAAGAAGCGATACTCTCGTTGACGATGCATCATTTTTTTTTCTTCTTCCTTTTGTGTGTTTTCTTTTTTTACATTGACTAGCGGATATTCTGGATGGGCTTCAGTGGCTTGCGGAACCCCGCACTGCCATGACTGACTAGTGATGTAGACCCCTTTACGGAATTCGACTGAGGCATTGAATGCACGCCGCCACCTACGCCCAATGCGCGGCTCATCCGATGCAAGGCTCCCCTCAATGTGCTATCCAAAATATGCAGCGCATTCTTGTAGGGGTCAAGCGAGACTGGCAAGGGCATTAATGGGGTACCGATACTGCTACAATGTGATTTCTTGTTCAAATCTGTGTTAGAGCGAAGGGTCACGCTCATACCGGACGTGCGAGTTCCAAAGTCACTGGATGTAATGTCAACGCGTTTTTCTGCAGCTGTCGGTGTCGTAGGTGCTTGCTGGGGGACTGGTTGCACCTTGGAAAATCCATCTTCTAGCGCCCGAAAGGCGTTACTCAGGCCCATGAGCAAATCGCTGGTGGCAGCCAGAAAGCCCTCACGAAACACGCCCAAGTCAAGGGCGGCGGATAACTCCCGCCGAAAGCAGAGGGCAACATCTTCCCAAGAGGCCTGAAAAGAAGCAGGAATAAAACTGCGTAATGCAGTTTGTCTCTTTCCACATCCGACCTGACGGGAATGTGGAAGAGGCCACCGAGAATTGTTTTCTTCTTGCCACCACATTGTTTTTTTATTCACCCTCTTCGCATGCTTCGACTTGGAATTAAATTCCCGCCGTATATTCTCCAAATTAGGTGTGGGAGGGATAAAGAGATCGAGACGCTCCCATACCTGCCGTGGCACACACGATACAAGTGTCATTTTACTCAATGGCTGCGTTTTCGCCATCTGCATGGCAACTTGCAGCATAAGCAATGAACCATGCAAGGTTGCCACCATACCAGACATAGCACCTGGTGTCAAGAGGATTTCACCACCGCATGCATAAGAAGCGACTTCCATAACTGTCTCCATAGCCGGGCCGAACACGTCCACTAAAACGCCATCTTCTCCATGAGATTTTCTGTTGCATTGATAATCGTTAGACACATGTATCACCATCCTTGCACGGACTCCATTAAATAACACAATACCTGTCTTCAAACTTCGTACAAAAAGCGTGGCCTCCAATGTCATTAGTTTCTGTGGCCAGTTCAGTGTTAAAAGCCTGCGTTGGATTTGCAGCGCTGCTTCCAAAGCACGCTGAGGATCGTTGAAAATCACAATATATGCAGTGACAGAATCTGTCTTGGCAATGAACCCATCGTAGGCCAACAGCGCCTCCTTCACAACGTGATTGTACTGGGCCACAATATCCTTGTATACTTCATCTGAGATCGCACCAGAAAGTGCAGGCATATCTGCTGCATCACAAAAAAAGAAGCCCAACTCCGCTGTCGGGTGTGCAACGCTGAATTTCTTCAAGACAGGCCATGGCAAACGGAGGTTCTGGTGAGCGGTGAGACACCAGGCACCGTCTTCTGCAGCCATCCTTGCCGCTTCTGCCCTCTCCATGAGTTGCTGTTGTTGCAATAAAAGTTGCGCCACTTCTTCGCGGGCCATGACACGTTCGCTAAGCTGCAGGGCCGCCTTGACAGAGCGACGTGGATATTTCAACTCTTCTCTAACAGACTCTTCTCCCCCAGATTTACATAACTTCCGCCTGAACGCGTACGACTTGGGTAGAATCGAGTACACGTCCACCAGCACGGTGCATGATCCAAGGAATCGACCACCCTCGCGCAACACATTGTACTCCATATTCACAAGGTTCGACTTCGTCGCGTAGAAGGCCTGAATGACATCTGAAACAACGAGAATTTCCCCACTGTTTGCCACATCGCACAAAATACCAGAACGAACCACTGCTTTACCGCGGCAACGTAACATGGGAGCCACCCCACAATCGATGGACGTAGTAGCGGCTTGTGTGCTGTTCATGGCACGCAGCTGCCCCACCGTGACACCGGCCCTCATAAGACACAGGTTTGATTTAGAGAGTAATTCGCAGTTCTGGCTCACCACGGCGTACAGCTGGGCGGTAAAACGCAGAACATGTTCTGGACGTCGAAAGGCAAAGGTGAAAACGTCCACATTGTTGCCATTCACATGAACACCCGAATTATTCCTCCCCTTTATACGTACAGACAACGCCAGTTGATCCCGCAGACGGTAGTGTTCTTCCAAATTCATGGAAGCCTTAGTAATCGCTCGCCAGGAGTCATCACTCCCGATATCAACAGTGCACACGTACAATGTTTCACTTGAATCAATGCGTTGGATTCGGGCAAAATACCAATCCTCTGCTTCCATCGCCATCTGTTCGTGAAAGGCGGCAACTGCTTCCAGTTTCTTGTAGAGGTGTATGATGCTTTTCTTCTCCTGCCGTAGCAAATAAAGTGAAAGGATATCAGCGCAATGAGTCTCTCCCTTTTCAGCTCCACGTTGCCTGTGACGATAGATACCATCGACCCAACCCTCATGCTGCTGCTGCTGATGTGATTGTGGCTGTAATTGTGATTGGAGCATCTGTTGTGTTTGCTGCTGCTGTTGTATGCCACTCAGACTAGAACGTGATAAACCTTTCATGGAGGCAATAAGTTCCGAACGCAAAACATCCACATCAATAATGGAGCGTGGAAATCGTGGGGAAGGGTTAAGGTAATACGGCGGTAGTCCGCGGCGGCGTTCAAGTGATTTGGGGAGAATAGAACAAAACAGATCTCCTGCAGCATGTTCCAACGCCACAATACTCCATCCAGCGCCCAATTTGGAACGTATATGGCTTATGTCTAACGATACACCATCGTGAACGTCATTCACAATGTCTGTTTCCTTGCAAATCATTATTGCCCATGCCTTGTTTGCCACCATTTCACCAAGCGGAGCGTCTTGCAACGCTGCGGTTATGACGTCTCTGACTTCCTGCCCGTAGTACACGGACCGGCCATTGATAGGGTCCGTTTCTGACCCGGGATTACATGTATACATGCACGTATGCATGCGAGGACCGCTGTAAAGCAACTCTCCGTTATCAATAACAGGGGCGAAAAACGGAATATCGATGGTGCGTGTCGGCCATGTGAGATTTGTCACCTTAATGTGGCACTCATTTGAGAAGTGAAGGGCGGCTGTGGCACCATAGAAGGCAAAAACCTCGATATGCTTTGAGCTACAGACGTGGAATCCGTTATATTCCTTGGCAGCCTCCAACAAAATATTCTGGTAAATAGTCATCGTAAATTCCTCTCCACTCAACGGTGGAGATGATCCATTCGCCACCACGTGAATCACGAACGTCACATCGCGAACAGGGAGTCTTGCTGCGTCAAACCGTTGAACAAAATAGAGATCATCATGGGTCTCCATCAACACGGCTTCCATACACTCCAGGCGGCGTAACCCTGCCGCACGGACTCTGGAAGCAATTTTGGCTTTTTCAAACGCCATCTCTACGCGATTTGTTTGTCGTTGCCGCAAAACGTCGTCCGCCACCCGCTCCTTTAGTGCAGCGTTCTCGAGGCGAAGGGAATCACTCTTCAGACGTAGTCGGTCCACCTCGTCCTTGAGCGAAACAATCTGAATCTTGGCCTCGGTCTCCATCTTCAGCATGGCCCCACGCAGCTCGTTCACTGTGTCAACAAGCTCCTCGTTCCAACTGCATATTAGCTGCAGACCATCTTCCTTAAATGGCTGGTCAAGTAGAGGTGCGGAGAGTGAACGCCGCATTCCGGCTCCCGGGATGGACCCACTCTTACGGGTTTCCGACAGGGTTTGCTCCAACGCCTCTACGGTGGCCTCCAGCTCGGCGATGCGACGTCTTGCCTGGTCACGGAAGATGATGAGATCTGCAAGACGAACCGCCATGTCGCAATTGACATCACTGGCCTCCCTTTCTTCTAGGGACATATATGCACGCCACCTTTATCCTTGAGTGACTACGCGTGTCAAAAACGAAGCAAAATGACGGATGAAACCACGTGCACCCACACCCACACCCACAAACTTAGGATGAATAGGGCCCACAGAGGAGGCACCGAGGGTGCAAGCGTCACACACCACACCTGCAGCAGCAGACCAAAATATTTCGCACACGGCTGAAAAACAACAACAAGAACACAAAAAAAAAACACAACTCCAAAGGAGTTGAAGGAAAAGGCAAGCATAAAAGAAACACACAGAGAGAGAGAGATAGATAGATAGATAGATAGATAGATAGATAAAAAGAAGAAAACGGGAAAAGGAGCGTGCGAAAAGAGCCAGTCAAGGTACATGTTTACTCCTCCTATCTTCCGTTCCTTCTTCATCCCTGTACTCCTCAACTAATCGCACCATAACTGGAGGCGAATGAATCACAGGCTTCCAACCTCCATCATCGTTATCTTCATTGTCTGCCAACAGCATATGTTGAACACCTGTGTTGCCCAATAAACGCGACATCAATATGTTTGTTGATTCGGCAACAGTCTTTTTCTCCGCCTTCAGATACTGCAGTTTTACATGGAGCCGATAACCTCGATCTTGTAGCCGCTCCCTATCCTGCTGGATGTATTTGAGTAACTGCTGAACAGAGTCAATGCTGTCTGTATCGTTGTTGATCGTTTCCTCCAACTCCCCTGACACAGTATCATGCATCCCCATAACAATTTCCTCAAATTCCTCCCGCAGCCGCACCTCTTTGTGTAACAGAGAAGACAGCGCCTCCTCACAGTGACAGAGGGCCACTGTGATAGCTTCAATGTCTTTTTCGAGGCGATTCAGCTCCAGCTGCAATTTCCTCAAAGTCTCATTCGTCAAAATGTCTTCATGTGCATCCCTCTCCCTTATGCCACCGCGAGGATGCAGCCAGCGAAAGACCCACTCCCATATCATTCCCAGGGAATTATCCTGCCCATTACTCGCGAGTTACATCTCCACACACAAGGAGGAGTGAGGAAGAGAAAAACGTAACACAGTTTTAATGCAAATCCGCAAACAAAAAAACAACAACAGTGCAGTGACTCCATCCAATAAAATCAAACTACAACACGTAAAAAAAGCATGCAATTGCAGTGCACAAATATCAGCCAGTAAAATCAAACTGTATGAAGCAAAAACAACAACAACTGGAGAGTATAATTCATGTATACTCAACACAGCAGGTTCCATCCAAGCAGCCACGTATGCGAGTACAGTACTTCTTACTGTTTTGTTTTCGTACATTGTTCTTCAAGAACAACGAGTGACACCAGGGACGTTCTAAACAACATGTACGTATTGTACAACAGAGTATGTGTGGACCAATGCTTGGGGAGAAGTTGGGGTAGCGGCAGGAGCACCACACGTCCACCCTCTCTCTAACAGCCGATATCAAAAAAGCAAGTATCATTTAAACCAGGGCACACACAAACACAAATTGAAAGCTACAAATGAGACGCACATAACATGGGCCTCATTTTAGATGCCGAACATATATATATATATATTATAAAGTGCGTGTGGTGGCGGAGATGTGGAAAAAGTGGTATGAACATAAAAGCAATCGTCCATTACAAAAACAAAAACGAGATAAAAGTAAACACATCCTTTTTTTTTTTTTTCTACAGAGCAGGTAACAATCCTTCTCAGCCCATTTTCATTACAACTGTCTTCAGTGAGTAGCGGCCGCACGACATTACAGCTCGGCCCATTGTTCCTTCATCTTGGCCCAAGAAACAGTTTCCCACTCCTTTATGGCATGACGAATCCTTTCCTCATTCAAACATAATAAAATACCCCGTCGTTCTTTCTGCGCAGAATGCACTATGACACGTCGCCGTGATGCCTCTCTTGACACCATGCGGCATACCAACTTTTGTGATAAAGATAAGTAATGACGACGACGTGGCTCAATAACTCGCAGACGACGCTCTTCTTGTGCCACTGGCGGTATCGATGCTATCCCTGTAGCCGCAGCAGCACTATTCGTCCCACACATTTGTGCTCTCGCTGCATTTTTCTTCTTCGAGCGACGGAACTTCTTCGTTTGCTGCGGCGCGGCGCGTGACAAAGTCGAACTATGTTTCTTCGACGGCGCCTCCGCCGCCTCAGGACGACGCCGATATTTAAACATGCTGCTATACGCCTCCCGCACACGGGCCACTTCCGATCTCCAGTCAAACCCAGACCTCTCAGCATTTTTCACCCGCCCTTTCGTGCATTTGTGCTGTGAGTGATTCTCCAGCGCCGTTTCATAGGCTGTGTGCAGCAACTGGAACTTCTCTTTTGCACCTGGGTCGGTGCAGCGGTCCGGGTGAGTTGCGACAGCGAGTCTGCAGTAGGCGGCACGAATGCTGTCATAGGAGGGGTTTGTGTCTAGACCAAGCACGCGCCACGCCCACTGCACACAGTCGTGTTTGCGAGCAGTTCCCCCCATGTCACCACCTACGCGCGTTAACTAAAGTAAAGCCAGACAAAAAAATAATAAAATAAGAAGCACCAAGCGTTAGGACCATTCAAAGTGTTAAAAACAAGTACGTGCATTATCTGCCCCCCTCCTACCCCCACCTCTCTCTCTCTCTCTACGTTGGCAAACACATCTTTCGGTACTCACTTATCATATGCGCGTATGCAGCTGTATGCGAGTAAAAGAAAGAGCAGTGAAAAAAAAGGCAAAATGGACGTAGAGGTGCGTACAACGTAACAAAAAAAAACATTACCTGAACCGTAACGCCAGTGCCTGCGCAAGAAGACGCCCCGCACGCCGTCGTCCCAGTTCCTCTGCGGACACCTCCAAAGACACCACCTCTCCTGCAACAACACTTCCACTTCTTTCCACCGCAGAAAAGACATCCTCTGAAGCTGCTGCCGTCTGCAGTAGAACTCCATGTAGTCGTTGTAAGGTCGTCTGTCCCCCCACACCCTGTTCAATGTAATCGGCGACTGCCTCAAGCAGTTTACTATCAAGAGTGATATTCGAGGATGAGACATTGCGCCGCTGAACCTCGGCCAGCGCTGCTGTTAGCTTCCCCACCAGTTCATCACGGACGCTCATCTTCAAAAAAAAAACCAGAAGTGACCAGTGCAGTCTCTCAGGAAAGATACGGGCACTGACAACGATAAAAGAAAACAAAGTGCGCCCGCAGCAAAAGAACGCATGCATCAGAGAAGCAAAAAAAAAAAAAAGAGTCACACGCACACACGCCCGTAAGCAACAAAAATGAGGGGTAAATGCGGACAAACAACAAACAACAGCAGCAATAGCAAACAAAACGACATGTTTTGACAAATCAAGCACTCAACTTCCAACACTCGAAGGAATTCAATATGACATCCCGCTCACGTCCCTCTCTTGCATCCTGAACTGGGGTAAAAAAAAGGCAACAGCGACTTCAAGCAGCCTTCTATCCGCATCATGCATATTGTTGGTCCCTTTGCGTGGAAGTGCTGTACGCTCCTGACCACCCACACTTTGCTTCACACTCGAATTGTAGGACGTCATATTTCGTTCCGCCATGGCGTGAGTCAATGCTCTCAGTTGCACATGTCTTCGCCAGTTGGTCAAAAGAAGAAGTGCGTTTCCCACTGTGGAAGGGAGGCTGCTTCCACCATTGTTTCCACCATCATCACCACCACTGTTCGGGGTTTTAGACTCCACAAAAAAATCAGCGCCACATGAAATTCCCATCGCCGTCCTACAGTCAAGGGATGATGTGGAGTCAAATGACGACCCAACAAAAGACGCCGTGGCGGGATTAAACTTCATTGCACAGTTTATTTGTTCGCATATTTGAGCCACAAGGGGACTTAAAGGGCGCGTCATCCCTTTAGGACGCAGTGCGCCAAAACGATCCAGTTTTTCGCCTCGTAGGGCAGCCAAGCGGTATTCCTCAAAGCGGAAAAGAGTAAACACGGGGAAGATATGCGCAGATTCATCGAGACGCCGGGAAACATCTAAGATAACAGGAGGCTGACGAAAGTAAGGCAACAAGGTGGAAATTTCACCTATGGTGCATGTTGTCCCTTGAAGTGTGAGGTCGGGAACAAGTTGATCCAGGCGATTACTACACACTGGGCTCGCCATCACAAGCTGTGCATCTTGCATAAACAGCGCTAGCGTGTTAACCCACAGCAAAACTAACGCATTATCATCGGAACGCACAACACACCGATGATGCTCTAGCGCCATTGAGAGAAATCCTGCCAAATGCCTAAAAATCCAATGAGCATGCGAGAATAGGGCCTGCATAGCACCACACGAAAGCCCCCTCTGCCACACCATACCTGCACTCAGCCAGCCGTTTGTATGGGCAACAATCTTTGGGAGCTGGCGGGCCCACTCGCTTAAGAGGTTCTCCACTTTCTCAGGCAGGGTATGAAGGCGTCCGAGGATTACCTGACATGTCAGCAAGAGACGGTCTCGAAGAGCTGGAAAAACAAAGTGAATCCGCGCAGAGTTATTGGGAGACGCTATAACCAATACGACAGCAAATTGTACTGTCAGGCCCGGCGTTCCTCCTTCCCGCATCGAATGCTCCGTCACAGCAAAAAAAACCGACACGAGCACCAGACCAATTTCCCGCAACAACGTAATTTTCAAGCGAGCACAAGCACTGTTGTAGTCTGCATGAACGGAACTTTCATCAATGGGAATGAGAGGGTCATTGATATCACTTCGTAACATGCTAATCTTTTGCACGGAAAGGACATCTTTTGTGGCAAGTTCCACAATGTGGCCCAGCGTGGCCGAGGAAACCCCGCATCCAAGTGCCTGCTCAAGTCGCAGTCGCGTTCCAAGGTGCGGGTGACTCTCAAGAATAATGTACGCACGAACATCCTGTGCCGACGCCGACACCGCCTCCGTGTGACCTTCCTGCATCAGTGTATGCGTTTATTCCTCAATACGGGGCCGTCATGAAGTATGTACCCACTGCACACAGTTGAGGGTGGCATACGGTACGATACAAAAAAAAAGGAGCGGAAAGGCCTCGGCGTCAAGACACATCAAAACAAAAAAAAAGTGCACGCACCTAACAGGTATACAACCATCCCATTTGCCTTCACACACATATATATACACACACATGCATGGAATAAAAAAAAACACGGACTGCTGCGTGTGTAAAAACAAACAAACAAGCATCTGTCTCTTCCCCTCACGAGGATACTGATCTGTGGGCCATGAAAGTGTGCAACAAAAAATATATAAAAGACACGCAACAAACAAATGCCGACAAGTAACAACAATTACAACAAAGATAAAAGTCAGGGTCATAGTGAGCTAGCGGATGCCCAGTTCATGATCCACCGTCCAGTCCTCCAGTTCCCCCAGAGACTGTCCAATCTTCACTGTCACAGGTAGCGGAACGAGCAGCGACACAGCGTGTGTCATGCTCCGTGTCACGAGTGGCACCACCTCTTGCAGCTTGTGTGTGGGGACGGAGAGGACAATCTCGTCATGCACCTGCGCCAACAAACGTACGTCTCCGCTGTGCGACTGCAGTACGTCACGCTCCACGGCCAGCATGGCAAGCTTCATGACGTCTGCGGCACTTCCTTGAACGACTGAGTTAAACGCCTGCCGTTCGGCGTACGATCGCTTTGCCATGACGCGGTCATTAATATCAGGAAGGAAGCGGATGCGACCACTCATCGTGCGCACAAAGCCATCCGCACGACACTGTTCAATCACACGACGATGGTACCGATCAATCTGTGGGTAGGACGTCTTGAAGAGCGACATTACATGTACTGCCTGCTCCACTGAGCCACCCATTTGCGTCGCCAAGGTTCGGGGTCCAGCGCCGTAGAGCATGCCAAAGACAGCCCGCTTCGCTAAAGTTCGTTCCTCAGAACTTGCAGGTGACTTTCGAAAAATTGTCTCGGCAATCTTACGATGAATATCCGTTGCGTTTGTCATAGCCTCAACAAGCGCCGTATCTGCAGACAAATGAGCTAGAACCCGTAACTCAATCTGCTCATAATCCACAGATAGCAGCGTGAACCCGGTAGGTACGGCGAAACAACGACGGAATGTTGCCATTTCAGCCTCGTACGGTTCACTGTTATCGTCATCGGAAATTATCCTAGCACGTGGGAGGTTCTGTAGATTCGGCTCCACACATGAGAGCCGCCCCGTGTCCGTCCCCTCCTGAACAAAGTTAGGGTGCAACTTGACCCATTTAATATGAGTAGCGTCTGCCTTGCCCCCAATTTCCCCAATGCGACTGTCCGCAAACTCACTGTCATCGCCCGTGAGAGGAAACGCGGTTTCCATCATGCCAACGGTGTATGTCTGAAGAAGTTTTGCCGTTTTGCGATATGCGATCAGCAATCGAGGCAACTCGTGGTGCGGCGCCAATATCTTCAAAGTTTCCTCCGATGTTGAAAGTTTCCCACTCTTTGTGATAGTAAGGGAGCAACTATCTGTCCCATCACCCCTGGTATGGGTCAGGTATGTGCCTAGTTGCAGAACCTCGTAAATCGCCACTCTACACTCATCCAAGTTCTGCATGTTAAAATCCGGCATCGATGGGACAAGCTTCTGGGCGGCAAGGCGGATCTCCTCTAGCCTGGCGGTGCAACGCGCCTTGAATCCCTCCACCTCTGACAACTTGACAGGGAAGCCATTAAGTTTCATGAGAGCACAGAGAAGTGATATACGCCTTTCCTGCTTAAGAAATGCCGGAAGAAGACCCTGCGTACCAAGTTGGCCATAAAGTAAACGGTAAAGCGGTGACATGTAATACACGCGATGACAAGCCATTTCCTTCACTGTCCAATTTTCCATGCTTCCAAACCCTGTGACAAAGCCAAGTTGATTTTGACAGGCACGGAGCAAGACGTCATAGTCGATGAATGCATCCGCACCAGCTGAGGGCTGTAGCATCCACGACATGAGACGAATATCTGAGATGCATGAGGTAAATAGATTTCCCTGCTTGTAGGAAAGTAGTATAAGTAGAAGCGATGGGGCATTAAACGTCACAATTTCAACCCCAGGAAGTTCTTCTGTAACACGCACCAGAAACACCAGAGCGACAGAAGCAGGCATAACGAAAACATCATCTTTCCAGCGAAGGACGAAAAGCTGTGCCTTCAAATGACTCACCTCGGGATTTATCCCTCGCAAAAAGTGAACCTTCCCATGTGTAGCTGCAGAAATGGAAAAACCTGTCTCTCCTCCATGTAGGATAAACGCTACAAAAAGTGTAGGAGCCTGAATACGATCTGGATCCTTCAGTGCCTCCTGCACATCCTCAAAGAGAGACGTACTATTGTCCAGTTCCTTGAAGGCCACAAGCTCAGCCTGACGGGGGCTTGACACTGGTTCAGGAGGCATTGTAAACAATCCTCTTCGCTGTGGCATTTTGATCGTTTGATTAGAGGTGGTTACTGCATGGGAGTTTCGGGCGCTTAGCTTCCTCTTGCTCTTCTGTCCCTTTTCCCCTTGCTTGTGTGAGGTAGTACCCTCCATATTCATGGAAACTCTATTGTTACCAGAAGTGGCCTTTCGCTTACTTGCACCTTCTTTTTCCACCCCCTCCCCGCATCCTCTGCGACGTTTCCCCACAACAGCCACCGTCGTCGTCACCGTAGTTGTAACACCGCCGCCGCCGCCGCCGCCGCCATTATCACCAGCAGCCTTTGCATTATTACCGCCGTTGTTTTGTTTACTTTGCGGCCCCCGTCGGGCAGAGGCCAGAGGCTTTGATTCCCTCGCTGTCTGTCCAACACGTGACGAGAGCTCCCACAGCTTTCGATGAATGGAGGATCCAGAGCTTCCCTCAATATTCTTTTGCTTCATTTGCTCCTCATCTTTCCCTTTCACGGCACCACCGTCCCTTCCCTCATTGTCTTCCGCCACCTCTTCCACCACCAGGTGATGATGATGCACAGATCGTCCAGCACTCTCAGCGCTCTGCGTTAGATGAGCAGCCTGTGAGAGGCCAAGCATAGAGCTCGTGTTGAGGCCGAAGGCCTGCCACTTATGCAGATTATCGGAAGAACTGAGTCCCGCCTCACCACGGCCGCCTGCATGCTCAATGTGAGAGAGTTCAACTGACACGTAGCGGTACTGAGGCTGCCCCCAGGATGACATGATGACAATAGCAAGTATTTTAACTCCCTTCCCTCTCTCTCTCTGTGTGCCTCCAACAGACGCAAAGGCCGTGGGGGTCAACAAGACACATTCAAAACACCCATCAAAAAAAAAAAAACGGAAATAAAAAAAAAGCGTAAACGAAATACGTGAGACTCGACAAATGGGTCCTCTCACCCGAGAAGGGGACTTCTTCCCGTGGAGACCCCAACAACCCTCTTCCCCACAACCGACGAAAAACCAAAATCGGAGGCATGAGTGGTATACACAACAATAGAGACAACAACCGATACGGTGACGATAACAAAGCCACAAAGCCTGGATAGAAAGGCGCCATTTAAATATCTGTCAAAAAAAATAAATAAATAAAAACACTAACAAGAGGAGAATTCGCAAACATAATAATAATAATAAACGACAGCTTAAGGTCAACGTTTCTTTGCTTTTATCCTTCAAAACGGGTCATCGCTTGACTTCTTCAAGTGTTTCTGAAATCTGCCGAGAGCGTCGTAGTCATTCACGCGGTGACCACTTAGAGCCTACACCCGCTCGAGCGAGCGAACCATATTCAATTAATTAGTTCAAGAAACAGCTGCTGCTCCAGCAAAAGACTGTCCACATATCCATTACTGGCTGAGGAACGTGTCATGTAAATGTAGCGCAACAACTCCGCGATGGGGTCAGGGCTTGCCACTTGCAGCAACACCACACGATGTGCAGGGCCAGTGACAGCGTTGCGCAGAAAAACGAAGGATGAATCGAGTGCAACATCTGATGATGCCACAACGTTAAAAAATATTCATAGCATTATTCTCATTGGTAGCTGCCGTCCAGCGGTGTTGTCCTTCGTTGTGCCGCACCAGCGTCGGAACCGGATCCAATTTCATTCACGCCATTTCCATTCCATGTCATCTTGGTTAGGCCACCAGTCAGATTCACAAAGGAGTGGCAACGAACACACCAGTACAATACTGATGGAGTTTTGCTATAACTATCCCCAACACTAGTCATCTGAACATCGCACTCTGTCCGTACTTTCTCTTTCACCACCACAGTATTAGGTGAGTTGTTCACAAAAGGACTGTAAAACTGCTGAAAAGGGACCCAATCGCCAGTTTCGTACATCATGGTAGGCGTGAAACTAGCCACTTCTCCATCTTCTCTCCAACGACGAGAAGTATGCAAAATATGCACCTTCTCCAAGGTATCCCGCAACTTTACCACATCAGCCCACGGAACAATGTATTGCTGACTGTTATAAACGTCTCGTGTCGCCCCTGCTGAAGCCACCTTCCGTACGATATCATCCTCCTTATGTATAACAAGCACTGTTTCGTTCTTCGCGGCCGCGTAAAGCTGGCCTAACAGTAAAAGCCTTGTTTCCGGCGCAACACTCCACACCTCCGCACTACATCTTGGGAACATCATCAGCTGCAGCGAGCTATGGAACCCGTATCTGTCCTGGAGCAGCAACGGCAACGCATTCCAAAGTTTGGGAAGCAAAGTAGATGAAACGCGAACATCGGTGCCTTCAGCCTCGTAAAAGTGTGACATTGTGACATATTTCATCCTTGTTCGCCACGACGTCACCATGTTCATACCAATGTTTGGACCAAAGGAAAAAAATAAGACAAGGAGGCACGCGGCAAAACAAACAATGTCTTGGTACGCTCGGACAAAAAATGGGAATTGGCGCCCCTTCTTGGAACTTGTCCAGGCCAAGTCGCTGATGTCAATATAGCGCAGGTACACAGTGTGGTGCACATCCTCAAGAAACATCCAGTGCTGCAACTTCAACACGGTGGGAGACACTGACCAGTCAAGTAAAAGCCGTAACTCAAGCAGACATGGTATGACACGATACACAACATGACCTACATAATGGAAAATGTCTGTATGTGTCGTAAAAGGGTCATACTTGCGGTGAAGCAGAAATCCCTCTCGCAATTGTAAGGCGCTCATTGTTAAAGAAAAAACCTTATTAACAGAATCATGACAGCTGGCGTGATGGGCAAATGTGAGACGCCACACCATAAAGAGACCATGATACGCCAACGTCATCATAAAATGAAGGCTCAAGTTGAGCTGAACCGAATACACAACACGTACACAATACGTTCGACTGCAACGAACAAAACTCCTACAAAGAGGATCAGTACCAGTGGTCCAGGAAAAATGTCCTGCTGCACGCTGTAAAGAATGTTACCACGAGAATCACCCACCAGAAGAAAGTAAACTGCAGCAAAGACAATAAGAGAGGTACTATCCGCCAAAAAATTGAAGAGTGTAGTGGTCTGATCCGGTTCCATTGCGTTTACATATGTTGCTCCAGTAATTGCGCGGCACTTTTATTTTGTGTGAGGATCGGTCTTGAAATGCTTGATGTATGGAGTGATATTCACCACCATCATCGTCATTACTGTTATCCTCCTCCTTCTCATTAGTACTCGTCTTCAGCTCCGGAGGTGAAGTTGTCTGCCGTAGCCGCTCTCCTTCATGTGTCGTACACGCACCGCACAGTACACCCCACGCTTCTCCACATCCTCCTCTAAAGATTCACTTCTTCCCTCCCTGTTCCCCCCGTTGTGCTGAAGCTGGGTTTAGTGGAGTTGTATTGCTTCTTCCTCTCCCTTGCGTAATCTACATGGCTCCTCATGGCTGTTGGAAAATACACCGTAATCAGAGCACAACTGACGATGGAGAATGATGCTGCCAAAGACAAAACAAATCCATAATAATATCCAACATCATGGCACGGGAGGACGCCGTGCTTCGGTCCAAACCAATGTACAACACACAGGCGGAAAGAAAGTACAACGCGGTGGGATGAATGTTAAAATGTTGAATGAAGACCTGCATAACACACTTAGCAAAAATGAAGACAACGTTGTAAATGAGGGCATTGCGCCAGTAACATTGCCCCAACCACGGTAAAATAAGCATCCCAACAAAGTGTTGCGGAGAGGGAAATGAAAAGATCCAGCAGGGTGCCACTAAACGCATAGTTAAGCATAAACAAAATATGGCATACATGGGAAGATCTCCACAAGATAAATTGTGCGGATGCAACAAGTAGGTGATGACCCTGAGAGTGTGCTCATCGAGACGCCTTTCCACGATAAGTGCGTGAGGAGAAATACCGCACAAGCTGCTCTAACCACTCTCCTATCCCACCTGACAATTTACCGAATATCCCCCTCTTGTCATCTTTGTGTACGGAGGGAGCTTGTTTTTCTGTGGAACCATCACCCAACCCCTCGTTTAACGCAGTGTCAGGGCACTCAACGTCCGTTTCTGCCGGCATCAGTTGCTTCAACTGGGGCTGACGTTGCTGTGGGAGAGCCAGCGAATCTAAACGGGTGCCTGACCGCAACAAGGCACCTAATGAAGCCCTCGCACGCAAACTCCCTGTGGTGAAGCACAAAATTGTCCCACATGAAAGCTCCCCTTTTTCTTCCCCCTTTTCTTCCTCATCGTCCTCTCCCATTGTGGGTATCGGAGCCTCAAATTTGGTTTCGGCGCGGCGTGCTCGCATGTTTCCTTCAGCGAAAAATTGTTCAAGTTTCCGTTTCAGTGCCGCTTCCTGGGATACTATTTGACGTCGCATCGCAGCGTCCTTTCGACAAAAATAGTCAAGCATCACTTTGTGTCGCTCCTCGGCCTCCAATGAGCCCCTACAGAAGCCAATGAGGCACGCCGCAAAGAAAAACTCACTGAAGACGTGTTGCTGCACCACCGCCGAAAATAGCGTCAGCGCCTGTCCAATGATGATCCCCAGCGACCAGGGACTGAAGCCAGGCGAAAGCATCACGTTCCCTGCATGGATCATGACTGGAGGTGATGGTGGAAGTCGCGTCACAAGTTGGGGGATAAAGGTCAAGAATAAAAACAACGTAAAGAAGGGTCAAATTTTGTGCCAACACCATGCAAGGTAGCGCATAAATGTGAGTATCCAAGAGTGATACAACATTTTCCACGACTCCTAGCAGTGATGCCATCATGACGCCTTGTACAAATGAAATCACCGCAGCTGGTAGAAGCACACACGACAAAGTAATTATAAGATCAAAGAGTGCTCTTGTATTTCGTATGATATCGTGTGAAGGGACAGGCAACACATTTTCGATATTTGAGCGGAGAAGCTTTTGGCAGTCCTCCACATCTTTTGCCGTCTTGCACAGGAGCCCACCAAGCTCAACGGCACCTTCCACATGTGGAATGGTTGCACGCACCTCAGAAATGTTATATCGCATACAACGTTGCATCACCACTACTGCTGTCATGAAAAGCAAAAAAAAATGATGGGGCGGAAGGCCGCAGCCAAAGTACTGGTTCCACGTACTACACTCCTCAGGACGTAGTACTGAAAAGTTCACCCATCCCTCCGGCAGCCCAAGGCGAATAAGATAGAAACTTCCCAGAGCGACCACCATGAGAAGCTCTTGGGGTATTGCGTAGCGCATATCTGTCGTACTCTGCACACGCCCAATTGCCCACATAAGCAAAAGCTCAACAAAAAAGACCATCCCTGTAGCACGATCTAACCTAAGGGCGAGACCGAGTACAACAACAAGAACCGTTAATTCAAAGGCAGCATCCACAAAAAAATTGGGATCGAAAATAACTTCACACAAAAAGCAGGTGTTGTTGGAGGCTACTAAAACCAACAGGGAGCGCGTAGACTCCACCCGCTTCCTTGTTCCTCTCCAGAATGAGTCGCCAGCTTCTCATCAAGTGTTATAAATGGGTACTATAACGTGGAATGCCACACATTCTCGCTTGATGCTCTGTGTCTTGTTCATGCCGTGTGTTTAGATACATCTTCGTACGCTCGTAAACCACAGGCCATGGCGTATGCCAGAAGGGATGGAAGGACACTTAATCCTTCTCCACTCTCACGTTTATGCAGACCAAAGAAGCGTCTAGTGATGGCAGAAAGCGGAAGCTCCGGAAGAAAGAAAAAAGGATACAAGTAATTCAGCGCCATGCTAACAACAGCGATAATCACCACCAATATGCTGCGGGAGTCGATCAAGAAGAATGCCATGAAGATTGCCCCAAAGACAGAAAAGTCAGCTAAGCTCGTATATGCGAGAGAGGCCCACACCAGCAACCTGTCCCTTGTTGTGCCAAGTTTGCTAATGCAGACGACAAAAATGAAAAGGTACCGCGAGATCTCAAACACCAATGGGACGCAGCGCCCAATAAAAGTGACTCGCGTTTCTCTGTAACTTCGAAAAAAGTAACTCTGTTCGATGCTCCCTGGCGCCTTGAGTAAAAGTTTTTCCAATATGCACTGCAGGATTGCTTCTCATCGCTTCCTCCTCGTCTTCTTGCTCACGCGCCCTCCCACAGCTCGCGATCAGGGGATCATTAATGGATTCCATCTATTCCAGTACTCCTCCATCTCTGCCGTGGTCGTGTTCCGCTTCACCTCAATTTATGCTTCGCACAAGAGACCCAAAACGATGCCTGCAAGAGGAAACAGAAAGCGCTGCTGCCAGGTACCATGGAATAAGATCCAACGAGGTAGAACCAAATTAGTTATTCAATGGGAGACCAACTTCCAAGGCACACTTCCGCACCGTGATGTTTTGGCACACGACAACATCGGAAAGCTTTTCAGCAAAGGCGTTTGAGATAGCAGGAACGTGGTGGAGGGCACTAATAAACAACACCATTACGTTATAGGTTCCAAGAGCGGGCAGCATGGCACTCTCTGCAAGCCGGAAGTAGGTACCCAAGGAGAGATAGAGGAGGATCAGGAGTGCAAACCTGGCAATAAAGATATTATGAGGAATGAACAGCGCCATCATCGCCAAAACAAGTGCTGTTGGCAATATCAAGAAATGCTGACGAGGTTGTGAAGAAACTGCACATGATATGTAGCAACGCCATTCCATTCGTTGAAGAATTTCTTGAATGGTGATATTCCCACTCCTTTCACGCCTAGAAAGACGCATTTGCAGCACCACCACAACAGCAGTAAAATAAAGTACACCAAAAGGACAAAAGGGTTCTTGCCAATGAAGATGTCAGTAATCTCTATCCAGGCATAGGATATACTATTTGGATGATAACTTGTGTTGTAGACCATGATAGTGAAAAGGACTGCGATATGCAGCGTCGTGTATGCAACTATGATAGACCACCTGTGCAAAATATACAGTAGAATACACGCCAGGCCAACAAAAAATAACAGATCCATGCCATTAAGAATGTCCAGCCGTTGCATTGCCATAGAGACAGCAAACATAGCAACAAGGGAAAACGTTGATGTATTGAGGCAAATGATTTGTTTTATCATTGTTGCCGCCACATATACGCTGCTACAATGATGCATGCGGTACGACTCAACCCCATTCACCAACACAAGAAAATCAAGATAGGCCATGCTACCACCAGGTAACCCAACAGCACACATGTTAGACTGGAATGCATCGGTGCGTCGCTCTCGCCAACGTTGCTGCCGCCTTTCATCCTTCCAGTCTTTTGTGTGTTCACCAAGATACACGTGATCCTCCTCTTCCTCCTCCAACTGCACATCTTGGAATAGGGTTGTTGAGGATGCGTTCATCAGGAACACATCCTTCTCTCCAGAAGCGCAACTTCCCTTCACTGCACCTGTGCGGCAAATGGGATCACAAGACCTTTTAATTTCTTCCCAGGCTTCCGCATCCACTTCTTATCCTTCTTTGCCACTGCCAGGGATGTTTCCAGTTGATTCCATGCACCACATTGACGTTCCTCGTTCTCCGTTAGGAGCGGTGGGGAGGTTGCTTGGTGGGTTGCATACCGCATCGGCATTCAATACAGCTTCCAAGGCGGATTGGTTTTATGTTGAGGTTAATTCCAGGCCCATGTATACGAGAACCGGTTCCCCTGCCGTCAAGAAGCACCAAAATAATTCCATGTCCACTTCCTTGAGGTGTGTTGTCTGCATCACTCGCCCTACGAGCAAAGAAAATCCATGACGGCTCACACTCCCTGTGGCCCGATCGCACACCTGCTCAAACATCCACCGTATCTCCTCCAGGCGACTCTGAAGACAACGAAATACCTTTCAAATGTGCGCCTTCTTCTCCGAGAGCGCTATGTATTACCTTTGTACGGAATTCAAACGAAACATGGATACGGATAGTACGAGTAACGAGTTAATGCAGCACTGAGCGAGATGCGCTACAAAGGCAGGCACGCCTGTCCCCACATAAAACATAAAAAATGGCTGCTGCAAGCGATTGTCTAGGGCGGCCACAAATTCAAGAACGATCCCCGCTGCGATTGCCAAGTAGCAGAACAGAAGCAGTATCACATAGGTTTCGGACGGTAACACTAAACCAAAGAGAGAGGTCATAACCATCAGGATGGACACAATATCCATAACCATAATGCTTAGAATGATCATCAATGAAACAATAGCACGCAGTAGGTAATGCTCCAGTACCAGCTGCATTTGCTTCACCTGCGCTGGGCATCGCACAGTAAAGACTTGCCACGATAAAAACGGCGGTTCAGAGAAATATTCCATATGCTCTTCCAACTCACGCATTGAGATGCAGCGCCAACTTCCATGCGCATAACGTGAAGCCATGATAGTGTACAGTAGTAACAAAAACTGAAGGCCCTTTCGAAGAACCGTAGCACTCTGAAATATTTTTACCCAATTGCGTTCATATCACCTGATACTCCACACACCTCACTGGGCTCTTTGCGCTCAATAAGAAGTCGCTGCACAACCGGCAACTGCGCCGATAATCCCCCCACGAGAAGTAAAAGGATCACTATAGCACACTCTTTCGCGATCACCTCCACAAAGCGAATTCGTACGCGAAGGTAGTTAGAAATCCAAAATGAGATCATAGACAAGAAATGAACAACAAACACGGGGGGTGTAGTCATAAACGGGATATATAGAGGAGGCAAGTGTTGTGAGAGCGGCAAGACTCAACAGGGAACTGCGATGAAACGAGCGTTCTGGGCTCCAGCGAATGTTGAAAATGTTGCCAGCGGAGAGTCATACAGAGCCTTGCAGCTGTGGCAGCTAAAAGTGTAAATGACACGACATTCACTGTGAGGGGACAGACGTCCTTCCGTTCCAACACCCCAAAGCTATTGAGCACCGTCTTTGCCTATTCCTGTTGCAGAATTGGCAACCCAAGCAACCCAACAAGGGTGGCAGCAACAAGTAACTGTATGCCGGAAACGAAGAGGCTCACGTACAACAAATATCGAGAGGGAAGGAGAAATGGAAGCAGCATTGTATTGTCCCCTGCATGGAATCGTGCTGGAACATCCTCAACACCGTCATTCTGATCGCCACCACTGTGTAATGTGGGAAGTTGGCGCCAATGACCCTCGTACCGCACGGCACATTATGAGATTCAAAGCGAGGAGGAGAGCCGCAACGATGTTTTGGCCTAGGAGTGCTGGTATGAAGAGGCAGTAGAGGTAAAGTACAGAGAGCAGAGCACACTGAACGCGTGGCGTGCATAGCTGTGAGATCTCACAAATGCGCGGTATATGAATGCTTCCCTGCAACCATATGTCGTTTGAAAGCGTAACTTCTTGGTGTATTTGAACCCTCCACTTCTCACATCACCTTTCTTTTATTTTCTTCTGTTTTCGTGTCGTCTTCTTCAGCAATCAAGCACACAAAAAGAAAGTGGGATGTAAAATGGAATAAAATCATCACGAGTGACGGAGCGGAAAAGTCTCACACTAGCCACGTGTCCATGTCCATACACCGGATGCCCATTGCTGATGCTGCACGTACGGAGGCACAAGTGCACATCAGAAGGATTCTGCTGAACCTTGTGCTCCATATGAGCCGCACTTTATAGTCCATGCTGAACTCCATGAATAATTTACAAAATATATAAAAAAGTTAAAGATAACTCGCCCGTAGACTATCCCCCCCCACCTGATGCAGCTCTTCGCAATGCACACAACAAAATAAAAACAACGACACTTCCTCTACATGCATATATTCATATAGACAAGCGTAACCAATATATATATATATATATATATATTATATACGTACATAACGGTCTCCAAAGGAAAAAAAAATGCCCTGCGCAATTCTAAAGAAGAATTGCATCATCGCCAGCATTCATGAGTGTCACGTACGGAGTAAAGTGCACTCCATAAGGAACATCTTCTCCAGACACAGCGCAGCCCCCAGCACGTTTCCACACTTGTGCCCCACTGCTCACACTCTCTCCACCACATGCCCCCACCTTTCCACCTCCATGACGTTGCCGTAATACAGCCACATCCTCTTCCTCTTATTCTGAGCTACTCGTACGAAGAAACACGGCCAGTTCCCCATGACGCGGACCAACACAAGTATTAGGTAAAGACAAATCGTTCAAGGAGCATTTCTCTTCACCGTACACGTCATTTTCACCGTCTGACATCATACGCCAACTAAGTCGCACAAACGCCTCGTAAGGTCCTTCCCTAACCAATGACCCAAGAGACTCGTATTGTCCACACTGTCATCCCTGTCACGGCCCTGAATGCGACGCGAGAAACACTTGTCAGCTATTTTTTCTCCAAATATTATCCACTCTTCGCTCCAGAGGAAGATGCCGTTAGCGGTACAGTCCACTGACAGCGTCATGAGTTCCTCCCAAATAAGTGGGGTCTCAAGCATGCGTTTGTCATACATCTCTTGATCCTCTGCCGTGGGTGATCACCAAAATCTACTGCTCTCTGCATCCCCGCTCTGGAAGGGGAAATAGTGAGGCGCAACAGAGAGCAACACGCGAGGGTTGTCACCTGTGGCCTGCAAGTAAAAGTCCACCTCCCACATACGGTAATCATCAGGGGGTCGCGAAATCGTGTACTCATGGGACAACGACATATCGGGATTTGGCGTATCACCACCCCCATTTCAGCGTGCAGCATTCCCACTATCGTGCTTCTCTGTTGGACGCTTCACGCTCAGGCCGCACCGACCACTAAGCGCGTGGCGCGAACGCCATGTGTAAGCCTCCATCGCATGCTCGCTCGCAAGCGGCACCCCATTGGCATCTGGCATCGCATGCTGTGACTGGCGCCGTGAGAGGCGCAGTAAGCCCGGAAAGAAGGAGCCCGTCAGCTACTTGCTCAAAAGCCCACCAATTCGTCATGTTTTTTCTCTTATTTCTTCTTGTTGTATGAGCAACAACACGTAGCAGCTGTGACGTACAAAATGGAGGAGGGGAAACTGAGGTGGGGGAAAGGAGATAACTATCTACAGTAAGTTCTTGACACGCAAGTGTGGGGATGCAAAGCCAGTGGAGGCAATGGAAGAAAGTGTGAAAAACTCAGGTGAGGGTGTGACGGCAGCATAAAACCAAAAATTAAAAAAATACCAGAAAAAAGGGGAAGAGCAAGAAGCATGGCAACTGCCATCCAACTACTGAACAAAATCACCGCAATAAATATTTCAAATAAGATAAAAAAAAGTTTTTTTTTTTTCTATTCCTCGCATCGCCCCACACTACGATTGGATTCGCAGGGGACACGTGCAGATCCTCCTGCGACAGTCTCCCTCACATAAAAGGAACGAAAGAAGGAAAACAAACCATTAAAACACGGTCGACCTACGGGCACCGCAAAGCAACACACTTGACGTAAACTTCTTTCCTTAATTAAAACGCACAACTCCTTTCTCCCCCTCCAATCTTTCCACCCAGCTGTCACCTGCACTGCACAATCAGCACGTTTTAGCTGTCAACGCGGATACGACAAAAGACAAACAAATACTAATGCAAATAACTTCACTACACGCGGGCGACGGGGACATCTATGAGGGAGCCCCGCCCCCTCATCCTCCTCCGCTGAAAAGCAGCAGCTGGAGAAAATAAAGTTTTTAAAGCGAACTGAAAAACAACCAACCCCTAAAAAAAAAAAAAAAAAACTAGACTTTCATTCCGCTCCCTGACAAACTCCACGCAATTAGAGAAGCGACCATTAAAAGGAATAACAAACAATTAAATAATGCAAAGGTAAATAAAATGTGCCCACAACATGTTCACGGTGGGGGTGGCGTAGTTGAAGGAAAAGCGTATAAAACGGTTTTTACGGAAGCCGCAAAAGCACAAAAGAAAAAAAGATAACCCATCCCAAGGCGTCATCGATCACAGCTAAATAAAAAAACAAAAAACAAATGTAGAGAATGATATAAATTTATATCAGAATTGAGAGATGAAGATAAAAAAAGAAAGTTGCCTACACAGTGGCATGCCTCCGTGCTTCTTTAGGGATTTCGTTCCTGTTGTACTCTACATTTTCTTGTTCTCTTCGCCATTCGTTGGTTTCAATAGCCACACAATCAACCTGTCTCTCTTCTTTCATGCGATTCCCTCCGCGACGACGCAAGCTACTCTCCGCACCCCCTTAAACACAGCCACGTTTTCGATGCACAACTCGCCACCATTCAAATTTTATCCTGGGCATTTCTTTTTGCCTGCTTCCACGGCTGTGCAGCCATCATTGCAAACGCGTAATGTTATTACCTCCCTCCCCGCCATAGATTTTGAAGAAGAGCAAAAACAAAAACAAAGAAACAAAACAACAAAAAAGATTACAAAGTTCCCACACAATTCAACTGGCAACTACCCCCGCGCGGGGAATAAATGGCGAAGGATGAACTGGCAAGAGAAAAGCCGGAGTCACTGAGGCTACTTGAAACTGCAGCAACTGTAGTCGTTTCCATAGGACCGACGTCACCGCTACTGTTCGTATCGTTGCTGTTGTTTTTGTTGTCAAGTTTGTTATGCATTTGCGAGCTGCTTGGCACACATAAGGGAGTTGGTTTTTCGCAAATGCTCGTTATCCTTGTACAGGGTGTGGTATTCTGCTCCATCTGCGCTTCCAACTTGCACTGTGCAACGTTTTCCTCCAGCGTGAACTGCAATTTTGTTGGGTCGCTGTTTTTTATGATGTTTGTTCCTGCACGCACATCGTTGTGGCTGCGATTGCGCCTCAGAAGACCCTCCAACTTAATGGCAAGCGTCTTAGAATTCACACCGGTGTACTGCACACGGCGGATGACGCAATTCCCACTGCGCTCCACGCAAGCACACAGCTCCTCCACATCATTGTTAACGACGTCAATACCGAGCAAAATCAACTCCTGCAGAGTTCTGTTACGATGCAACGCCTCAAAAATGGGTAGCAGTGGACGACGTGAGTGAAAAGTGTTAAAGTTCACCTCGCCACTGTGTATCTGACTCATCCTGTAACTATCACAGAGCGGATGCTCCACCTCTTTGCTTTGATGCGACAAATCCAAAAACAAAAGTGTACGGTTATTGTCAAGAGCTTTTCCAATAATACGAAGGCTCTCTGCACTCATGTTACACCCACGTAGACTGAGCCTAGCCAAAACAGTCGCACCCGAAATTCCAACTGCTAAGGCGGTAACCGCCTCTTCGCTCAGAGAGATTTGCAGATTGAGACTTTGTAGCTGTGCCGTTGGTGAACACAACGCTTCTGAGACTAACCGAAAGGGCGCTGACAGAGAGTTAGAAGACTCTCCATTCGTCGAACTACAAGGAATTGTGGTGTAACAGTCATGGAGAGCGAGGTGGCGTAGTTTGGTTTGATACAACGCCATCTGAAGAACAAAAAGGAAGTCTTTGACGGCAAAGTCTCTCCCTTTGAAGCCCCCGTACGTGAACGACACCAACGTGTTCCCACAATTTGAGAGAAGCAGCTCAATGGAGCCTGCACTCATGCTTTGCGCCGATTTGGCATGAACGAGTGACTGACGTGCCTCTTTGCCGTCTACACCTCGACCAATCGCCAATTCAGTCAGGGGAAACGAAGAATTGGCACACAATTCGCACACACTCCGTACACCTTCAGCTGTCAGAGGGTTGCCAATAAGCGAGAGCCGCTGCATGGACGGAGAACTCACCTGGAGAGCTTCCAAGAGTACTTTGACGCCCTTGTCTGTGATGTCATTACCTGATAGCACGAGAGATACAAGCCGATGCTCACGGGCAATAAATGGGGCAAACGCTCGTACACCGTCATCTCCAATTCGAAGACTGTGTAGATCCAAAGTTAGCATCCTTCGAGTGCCATCATCGGCCACTTTACAGTTCAGTTGATTCATTAGCAGTTCACTAAGGGCTTCCGCTCCTTTTGGCCCAAGCGAGACCCATTTGCCGTAAGACCTACGCCACTTCGGTGGCGGGATCACAGGCTCATACGGCGTGCAGCACTTAAGCAGAGATGCGAGATATTTTGCCTCGAAAAGGCGGTTTTTAAGAACAATATCGTCATCTTTTGCGTTTGAACCACAATCGGCGCACGACGCAACAAAACGGAAGCAAAACAGACTTCGCAGACAATCTTTCATGCGAGTGACGACGCCCCCTCTCCGAAAAGATAAATAACTAAGAGTAACACAAAAACAATTAAAAGAGAAATAATTAAACAAATGGGTGTATGTGTCAATGTGTGTTCCCCAATAATAATAATAAATAAGTATTTTCAGTGGACTCAACGACGCAGGCTCTTGGTCTGTTTCTGTTCTTTCCTTCTCTCCTTGTAGGAGTGAAGGGGCAAACTCAGCCCCTTCGCCAACGCTTCACCCTCTTCCCCTACTTCCCTTCGTCAGTTTCCTCCTCTTGCCTAAGTTACCTTACCTTGTGAGCAAGCACCGCACTATATTTGTCAACGACACGACATATGAGCACGGTTAGCGTGAGTGAGAGGCAGCAAAAAAGAATAGAAAAGAGGTATTGAGGCAAAGAGACATACACACACACACACACACAGAGAGAGAGAGAGAGAGAGAGAGAGCAATAACAACATCAACAGAGAGGCACATAAGTTTAGCACCCAGCCAACCAAGAGCATCACGTACACCAGAAGACTTTTTCCTCCGTTTCAATGCAGGGCTTACTGTTATCATTTTTGTTTTTGTTTTTCGGTTTATACCACCACCATCATCAACCGCCCCCACCCTGCATCGTAGTGTGCGGGTACATGTGTGTGTGCGTGTGAGCTATGATACGTAGGAGCCGTCTCTGTTTCTCCCTCATCCATCCATCTGGGTGTAAGGAAGATGCACAGAGGCCAATATGATATGCAAACCGCCATTGAGAGAAAAAGCTATGAAATTGTTTCTACTCCTCCTCCCAAGTCTTGATGATTACTTGTCACGTTTCTCGTCACTGCACGGCTTGCTACCAGGAAGATGCAGCTCATCAGGATCTTGTAGACCTCCGCCAACTCCTTTCGCAGTCGATGAGACGTAGCGCCTAAATCCTGGAGTTCCCATTGGAATCGCGTCTGCGGTGCCCTCATCCTTATTTCCACCGTCAGCTTTAGGCGTGGTGGAGGACACACTACGCCATTCTATTCTTCCTTTCATAGAGTTGGCTACCGGGCACCGTTTCTGCAGCTTCTCAGCAAACGCCATCACCTCCGCTTCCGACGCCTTTGGGGCGTCAATGTAACCCACTACCACAGTCTCATATCCAACCTGCGTGCCAGTCTTCTTCTTCTCGAGTTGCAAGGTTACATTTTTTACATCAATACCTTCTTCCACCGCAACCTCCGCCGCGTGCGACGCAGTGCAATGCTGCAGCAGCGCCATAGCTCCGGCATTTGTAGAAGTAGCCTCTTTTAATGCCTTGTTGACGGAAACTACACGTTTCTTGATACGTTCCATGAAGCTGAGCCCCCGCAGTGACTCCTCAGACGCTTCTTTTGCCCGTTGCTGCTGTTGTCGTAGTATCTCCTCATATGACTCACGATGTTTTTTGCGCTTCTCTGCTAGTTCCGGGTTTTCATCCAAGTAGACATTCTTCAGCGAATGACCGGCTCTTTTTGCGGCATCGACAGACTCATTTGCATGGAAATGCAGCATGGCAGGGATCTTATTTAACTCCTCGCGCAGAACCCCCCAGACCCCAAACAAAGACATCGAGCGGCGCATTAGCGACGGCGAGAAGTCAACTAGAGCTACCTAACTAAGGTGCAGAGGCCCACGCGCCAATGACTAGCAACACCCACGCACTCACCGTGAAAGGAAGGAAGGGAGGGGAAAGGGTGAGAGACTAACCAAGACGATTTGCGGTCTCCCGGTCAAAGAGCTTGGTATAGACAAATAAACACGGAAAAAATGACAAGAGCAAAAAAGGCAGAGTAAAGAAACGGCAGTAACCGGCGGTGGATCAGCAGCATTGGAAGCACGAATTCTTGACCAAGGGGAAATACAAATTTATGTCAAAGAATACAACGAAAAAATGCGTTGTTTGTGTTGTTCTCGTTACTGATGTTGACTCCCTCTTCTCTTGCTTCTTAGAGCAGCTGCAACAAAAAGCGAGGGGTCTGGGAGAAACAAACATGAGGGAAAACGAGAGAGCGTGGAGACAGGGTGTGTGCAATGATCACAAAGGGGTCAACCTGGACAGCACCCATATACTACTCCAGTTCCTATATACACTAACTTGAGTAATACTTCACGTCAAATTTACATAATATTTTTATTTTCAGTTCTCTTTCACGACTGTCAAAAGTAAGAGGGGCCCCACGCACCTTCTCAAAATAAATGCAACACGCACATATATACATGAACAACACACAACAGAGGCGTGACGATACACACCGAGACTACAACAGAATAAAGCATAAAGGGAGAAGGCGTCAGCTACACAGCAAAGACAAAGCAAAACCCAACAGCAACAACAACAAAAAAGATATATACGTGTGTGTATAAGGAGTCAAAACATGACAACGCCCTAAACTCACGACGACGTTTCTGCCCCAAAGAGTTCTCGTTGGAGCTTGAGAAACGGCACGTCTTCGCCTGGGAAACACCTACACCGTGAATCAGGATCAACAGAGAGTGTTTGCACGTCGTTGCAGTGATGTTCCAGCACGTGTCGCATGAGGAATATCCGCGGTGGTACAGAAGGTGGTGGACAGGGCTTGATTCCCGCACAAAACCGCATACCCACAGCAGTTTTCCCGGTGCGTGGGACACCGGCACCCTCATTCTCGCCCTCACCACCACCGCCTCCTCGTCGTCCTCCTCCTCTACTACTACAAGCCTCTCCATCCGTACCTCTTTTTGCCATTTTGCCACCCCAACGACCGAAACCAACAACTGTGGCAGTGCCAGGCGGGTCCAGGGCTGAGGGGTGACTTTGCCGCAGATGACTCAGCACGTGACAAACCTCAAGCTGGGGCAACACCGTCTCAATATTCGCTTCATTGGGATTCGAATCAATGACAGAAGCCGTGACACCCCTACCGTGAGAAGTGTGTGATGTGTTATCCAGCTGCATGCGGTTCGCGTTACCGTCACATATTACCGGTATTTTTCTTTGAACCGGCGGACGCAAGGCCAGTTCCGCAGCATATTCATCTGGCATAGGTGTACGACTATCAAAAAATGCAAGTGAAGAAGCAGTATTCATATTTTTTTTTCGTGCGTCACAGCGCTGTTTCCTCTCCATTTTTGTCATGTATGTGTTGTAGTGACGTACCATATCGTTAATTGCGTCTGGAAGGGATGCAGAACATTGACGTGGGTTAAGTTTGATGTCCCCTTCCTCGTACAATTTCTCCAGAAGCGCACGCACTGCTGTTTCTGTCGCACTCTGCTTCGCAACAGCCTGCGCCTCCTCAGTGTTGCTTTTTATAAAAAGATCATGTTCATCAAGTGCATTGATCAGCAAGCCTGGCACATCACTGCTATTCAGGGCAACAAAGTGCAAAAGGCGAAGAAGAGTGTCACGATCACATGCATCCAGTGCAGCGTGATAGGGTTTTGGCAAGCCACTGTGTGTCAAGGTGGATCGCTCCTCATCACCCTCACCGCAACGCTTTTTCCACAGCTGCAGAAGTCTAAGATGCACATCACGAAGCAGTTTTCCTTGTTCCACTAAAACCGTTTCCATCTTTGACATGTAGTACTGAATGGTGTTTTCCTTGTTAAGTAAAAGTTGCGCATGGTCGTAAAAGGCATTATTTTCAATACTCACCTCCGTACTTCGTTGAATGAGCTCACTAAGGCTGCTGCGGACCTCTTTTTCTAAGGCATCCATCCGCTGTCGAAGTTCCATACCAAATTGTCTGCAAACTTGAATTGCACTGTCCACCTCCACATGATGTTTTGTGGTGGTCTCCCGAATAAAATCATCCGCCACCTTCATACGCGTTGCTTGCTCATTGATCACACCCTGCAACGACTCCACCTTTTTCTTCCAATGCTGGATCATGCGATGAACCCGTTGAATAAGAGAGGCAAGCGCAGATGCAAGGTGCTGTATATTTTTTTCAACCTCATCTTTCTTCTCCATGGCAGCGTTCACGGTCTTTTCAGAAAAGAGGCCCACCCTATCCAACTCCTGCGTGAGTTCTAAGAAAAAGGAGCGTATTCTCCCAATTTCTGGTTCCTGATTCGTATCCTGCCGCTTTACAGGTAAGTGAGATTCAGTCAGGTAGGAAGAAGGATCCCTGGCGCACGACAGTACTTCCACCTCGGTGGTAAATGCTTGCATGGTCATTGGGATGTCAAGTTCAAGAATTCTGTTTTCCCCTAAAACATTCGCACCAGCTAAGTGTACAGTTTGAAGCAATTCAAAGGTGGATTTGACCAGCTTTTCCACAGCCTTTTCTGCTTCTGTAGTAGTCGCTTCACATTCACGATGCACCCTGTACAATTCCTCTTGAAGTTGTAAAAAGTTGCGTCTCTGTGGCACAAAGGCATCACTCGCAATTTTCAAGAGCACTGTTTCCCATTCCGCCTCATATTCAGTGTCAATGACAATACGTGCCTTTTCCTCAGCACTCATTAGAGCCTGAAAAGGTTTCCTCCATTTCTTCTTCCTACTCCCTGGTGATAGTCGCCGCAATGGTGGAGACAAACGAGAACCTCTTTTTGGCGTTGCTTCTTTCCTTCCGGCCTTCGGTAGCGGTGTCGGTTTACCCTCTGGCTTGAGTGAAAACAGTTTGCTCTTGGTCGTCCCTGAACTTGTTGTGGACTTGTCACCTTGCGTTCCAGGAACACCAAAGCGCTTCGACGAGACGGTGTGTGTGGTCCGCTTATTGGGCTTAGACGGGGAAAAACTCGTACTACTAACAGAGGAGCGAGTAGTGGCAGGACTTCTTGTGACCAATCCTTTTACACCTGGCGAGCTTGTAGAGTTCCTCGATTGCCCCTTCCCGGAAATGCCGCGCTTCCCCCCAGAATTGTTGGAGTCTCGCACGACGGACGCTGTTTCCAATGAGGAGGAAGCGAACAAGGGGCCCCTCGACGATGCAGGTTGGACTTCTAACGTCTCAGACTCCGATGTGGGGAAAACATTCACCACCCGACGGCGTGAGGATGACCGTGGCGACACACGTTGCCCCAATTCCGCACCACCGAGCTCTTCTCTCGTCGTTGTGGGTGTGCCATCTTTGGGTATAGGGCCCGCGAGTCGCACCGCCTCGGCGACCCGAGGAGCAGTGAGGATATCCGTCGCCGCCTCCATCAACTACCGCGCCCGCAGTGACTCCTTGCCTCTCACCAAGCTCACCTTACAGGTTTTGGCGCGACAAACAAACAAACAAAAAGGACACATAGGGATAAAGTAACGGCAAGGCAAACACAATGAAAACAAAACAAAAAAAAACAAAAACGCGGTAAATGAGAAGTCTTCACCGAAAGAGACGACTACCGGAAATGCAGCTGTCTTCATAGAATCAATGATCCCAAGAACAAACAGATGAGCCACAAAAAGAAGTGAGCAGCAGGGGGCAGAGGTGGAACTCAGAAAGAACCCAGAACCGTAACAGTACAAAGTTATATTCGTACCCATCTCAAATCATGACTCCACTAACTAGAGTGACGGAGAAAACTTCCTGTTCCTATACCTCCCTCCTTCTCTCTTTTATATATATATATATTTCCTTTCCATCCCCTTTTGAACACAAACTGTTTTCTCTCAGTTCTTGCTGTTGCGTTTGCTCCTACACGTATAACCACACACATATAAAGAGGTGTATGCTGTATGTTGTATATCACGGTATGCATGAAAACATATCCGCAATGTAGCGTTGTCGCATCAAAGAAGATGCGACGGAAAAAGAAACATATCGGCGCTCAAGCCAAAACACAGTGTCACCACGGATTTCTACAGGCCTATATATATATATATATAAGAATGCCCAATCGCAGTAAAAAAAAAACAACAACAACAACAAAACGAAGCAATTTATCAACACAAACAGTGTGAAGCAGGAGTGTGAGAGAAATAAAGAAGAAAACAAAAATGAACAATAATATATATTGCACACACTACATCCACTTCTTCTCTCATATACATTTTTCCTCCACGTCGGTGCGCCTCCTCTGAAATTCGACCTTCACATATTTCTTGTACCTTTTCCGTCACCGGTTCTGCATCCCACCCTCATTTTGTGGGTCTCCTCTGTGTGTGTGTGTGTGTGCCTGGAAGTAAGTGAGCTGCCCCACAACTTGTGCTGGTTTGCAAACATACACCCTGCCCTTGATGCACCCGTAGCATCAGGCAAAGACACCAACACAAACACATGCACACACACGATGATACGCAAAAAAAAAACGACAACCAAACGCAGAGAGAATAAAACCCTTTACCATTCTCTCATTGTCCTACCTCTCTCTGTCCTCCGCGTAACAACGGTAAATAACACCCATCCGTGCAGCCACACGAACAACAATTACATTTTTTTTGTTAACGATTATTTCACATTGCCTCTCTCGCTCCTTTGCTTCCCTAAGTTCCGCCTGAATAGGGAAGGAAGAAGACGTCTGTGATGGCGGTGTTTAGCTTCCGTTCACTCACCCAAAAAATGATAGGATCTGAGGGCTTAACTCTACATGCGTTCCCACCGGTACCATGACGCCTCGACGTGTGGATAAACACGCAGAGAAGCACTGTGCACAGGCAAACGCAAAAAATAAATAAATAAATTTATCCACCCCCTTCTTTTCTCCCTCTTCCTCGCGTATTTTTATTATTATTTTGCCTTCGTTGCTTCACTCCACACACACAACTTCTTTCCTTCTTACTGTGCTGCTTAATCTTCTTCCTTTCATAGTTGCCGCCCTCTTCTTTTTCTGTCGCTTTCCATTTTATTCAGGCTTCCTGCTCCAAACTTCTGTGTGTGCGTGGTTAAAAGACGTTCACATACATACACACACACACACACACACTCACTCACTCACTCGCTCTTTTACTGAACATCACAGTGTGGCGGGTGACCGTAAAATCAAGCACAACGTCGTTCCTTAATTGAAAAAAGCATACACACACGTGCATGTCATGCACACTCACAGACATATCCAACGAAGTAAACCAAAGAGGCACAAACATCAGCGACAATGGCGTCTAATCACCCTTGTGGATGATTAGATAATTTCCGTACTGTCTTTGTAATACACCCAACCTAAGGCCAAGATACATATCCATGAACTTCCCTCCCCTACTGTTCCCGCTTTTTTATTTTTCTATCTTGTCGTCTGTGACCGCAATTAACGCAATCTTCCTCTCTTTCCTGCCATTCATCCACGTCGTTTTAGTACTCCCCTCCATCGGCTATGTGGCAGTAAATGCGGGGCACACGCTTCTTGCGTGATGATGCCGACGTCCTACCCTCAACATCGTCCTTCCGTGTTGTGATCCTCTCTGCCATCGAGAGTAAATCCATCGGTTCCAATTCGTCGTGTTCCACCAATACTGTCACACGTGTCGTAAAACGCGGCATTGGTGGCACGCGGCGACCCAGCAACTCCTCTCCCATTTTGGCAGCACCGGCTATTTTCGTTGTAGCGGCGTCAGCCCCTTTTATCTTCTTTGTCTTCCGTGTCTTTGCCATTGCAGTGGTGGCTGCCATATTGGTCGAGGGGGATCTAGAGCTAAAAAACACTTCCTCTTCACACCGTGACCCAAGGGTGGGTTCACGACGTGGAATGCAACTCGCCACCACTGACAAGAGTGGCTTGAACGCAAATGGCTTGGAAAGCAACGTGGTTCCATTTTCATCATATACGGCTTGCTTTTGATTAAATATTTCATCGTCTTTATTGTCTTCTGCATTCATATCACTATTCAGCTTTCCATCCATAGTCGCAATAACATCCGCGACTGTCTTGGCACATCCGCTACCCTGCACCACCGTCAAATCTGCCTTCGGTGGATCATGAAATCGGACTCGCGTAATGGCGTGGTAGTCCTCCGGAACCTTAAACCGTTCTTGAGACTCACGTGCCTTTTGTAACGCCTTAATTTGCCACTCATGAAGCGCCAAAAGGCGTTCAATAGGCGTCAAGGTTGTGGTGCGTACGACGCCCGACTTTTTTTCTACTCTTGATACCTTTCGACGGCGCGCCCCTCCCGTTAATGACGTCTTTGATGGCGTCTTCGTTGCACTCTCAAGCAGCAAGTGGGGTGGTGGAACCAGCTGATCCATGTCCCGAACGTGAATACACAGTGTGTGATTCGCCCGCTCCTCGGAAAGAACACGCTCTGCAATCTCGCGCCGTGCCACTACCTCGTTATTCGAACCGGCATAGTTGCCATCTCTGTGAAACAGATTGCCAATCTCATCTACTCTGTGCTCTGGTGTCAAGGGCGGAAGCACCGCCTGATCTACCTCCCTGAGGTAGTTATCAATGGAGCGCTGATTCTGCGGCAGGGCACAAAAGATAGAGGCTACAGAGTCCGATAGCATGAACAGTTTCGTAATGCTTGCACGCTCTACTACCACATCCTCTTCAAGCTCCACAGAAACATCACCATGAGTCACCGAACGGCTCAAATTCGTTGATTCCTGTTTTCTGAAAGGCATTGCATCCTCCTCTTGCTCAGGCGACGCAGCACTGTCTGTCAGCTTTTGCATGGAGTCACGTTGGTGAGGCACCCGTGTTTTTTTCATCCGCTGGGCACCTCCCTTCCCTGACACCAAGTGTGCGGACACCGCGGACGAGGCGTTTCTGGTATTATTATCATTATTACCTTTTTTGGTGGTGGAAGCAGATGGATCAACGGGGGTAGTGGAAGAGGAGACGCCAGCAGAAGCGGAAGCAGCTGGAACGGCGACATTATGCTCTCTTGTCCTTGCTTCGCCAACTGGCCCATCTCCTCCTGCAGCTTCCATGCGGCTTCCCAATGCTCCCCCATCTGCGGCCGCAGTGGCGGTGATGGATGAAGGCACAGGCAATGATGCCGCGGTTGTCGTGCTGCTGGTAGAGGCGCCAGCACCCAGTTTCTTTGACCTGCCCGACTTCCGCCCAATAAACTTCGACGAGTGAAAGTATGCGGACTGCCAGGTTGCCAACGCCCCCATCACCGGGGCGGTGTCTCGCCACGCGGTGACGATGGCAGCCGTTGGCGTTGTCGCGGCCACGCTTACACAACGACGCATGCGATTAAGTAAGTGTGGTGCCGTGCACCAAACCGAGCAAGTGGCAATCGAATCGCGTATGATGATCGTAAAAAAAAAAAGTCCCAAAACAAAAACAAAAAAGAAAAGTTCTCTATGCTGTATATATAAATAATAATATCAATAGTAGCAACAATATGAATAAAGAAGATGGCTATGACGTTGAGATAAGGGTGACCTGATTTCCCCTCCTCACAGCCTCCGTACGCGTGCGTACAACTATTAATACTGTGTGTGAGAAGCACTTCCTCGATGTGTGTTGACGCGGGTGCGCAGAGTAATATACAAAAATAAAGGAGTCAAAATAACAACAAAATCTTCTTTTTTGTTTGTCCCCCCTCCTTTCTTTGCAGACTAAACAAAGCCCCCGTTCTCGCGTGTTTGTGCTTGCGTTTTTTTTTCTTTTTGTGTGTGTGCGGGTACGGCTGTGGGAAAACCACACACACACACACACAGGCTCGTGTGAGGTGTCGATCCTGCGCGGATGTGGGTAGGGTTAGGTTTTTGTAATGAAGTTGCCACCTTTCCTGCAATGCGTACGGCACCTACACTAGCAAGCGAACGAATAAACGACAGAGCACAAGAAGAGAAACGACCAAAATACTAATAACAACAACAACGTTATAAACGAAGCCAAAAATCTGTAACCGTGGAAGGGTTGCAGCGCCACAAAAAACCAAAGGGGAGGAACCACAACAAAGAGAAGACGGCACATAAATGCATGCATCCGTTCGCCATAGTTGCACAACATGCGGAGGTGGACCCACCCACATAATAATAAAACACACACACACACACACAAACATCATGGGCATAGAAGCAGGGGAGTGCCATAGTGTTTGCACATACAAAGAATAGGGGAGAAAAGGAAACAACGAGGAAACAAATACAAAACATGCATAACAAGCGGTTGCAGAAAAAAATGCGGAGTAAAAAAGAAAAAAAAGACATCAGAAACCTTCCCCTCCCTCTACTCCCACTACTTTATTGAGTGAAAGTTTAAATTTAAGTGTAGTCTAACAAAGAGAAAAAGCAACCTGCACCCCCCAACTTTTTTTCTTCTTGATTTTTTTTGTCTTCAATCCGCACAGTTTCTCTTGCAGTGGCGTCTCCGTTCCTCACAGCAATACATGGCTGCTCTCAGCTGACGGGGAGTTGTCGTCCTCGACATCAGATGGCATCATAATGATAGTCCTCGCTTCTTCCTTACATCGTCTCCACGGCTCCGGGCTATTCCAGACACTGATTTCACTTCGGCTAGCATCAAACAAGCGCGACTGAGCCTTCGACTGCCACCGCGGGGACTCAATACCTTGCAGCAACACTCGTTCCGCCCGCAGTGCGGCCAAGGGATCCCTTCGAGGTGGGGTTAAACGCGGTTCCGCAAAAGATACGGAAAAACCCTGAATATTTCCTGTGCGACGAGATGGGGAACTGATTGTCGACATGTTAGCGCGAGGAAAGCTACGATTAACGCCAAGATACGTGTTCAAACTAGAAGGAACAAAACCACCAACAGGACATCGCTGCCGCATCAAGTGACTCTTCCCCTTCCATCTATACCACGCTGACGCCAGCAGCTGATTTTCATGCATGACCTTTGCTTGCAATATCAATGCAGCCTTGTCCATGGCACAGCGATTCTCTTCACGCCGGACACAACGCCACCGCCACAGGCGCCATGTACCAAATAGTAGAAAACGGTGATGCATGAATACAGCCAAAGCAACACGATCCTTTTCTATTCCTTGATGAAATAGTACGCGCTGCACCCATCGATTCCATAGCACGTGACATGTCCTTCGCAGCCGGTTGAAAACCAGCTGCTGATGAAGCTGCTTCAGGTGTGTCTTACGCTTCCAATGGGTAAAGGTGTATACAATGCGCCGCCGCTGTTTTATCGCAAGGTACGTTTGCATGCGACCAATTCCACCTATCTTTCGCACCCAATGACGACGCCAAATTAACAGAGTGTGATAAAGAAGGCGCCGCCCCAAGGCTTGAGTAAATTGAGAATACATAAGAAAAAGTCGATACATTTTGCGCCACTGATTCAAACAACTTTGTTGCAGAAATCGTCTTGCATGCGCCCTGGCAATCTCATCAAGCTGACGACCCTCCAATCGGCGCCTAAGATAATTTTTAATGTGAAGAAATGAGCGCTGCATAAGCATACGATCCGCCACATGACCTAGGTACACCTCCCGCCAGCGCTCCAGACACCGTAAGGCGAGGGCACGCTTCGCAATCAGTGGCAGAGCTTTCCCCTGCACGTGAATAGCAAAGATGTAGGCACAACGCCACACACCAAAGAAACGGCGTCCAGATGTATGTATACGAAACTGCCTCACTAAGAAGGATGCCTTCCAGCACCTCCAAGCTTGTTGACGGAGACGTTCTCTTTTTCTCTCAATAAGGTTGTGACACTGCTCTGTCGCACATTTTTTCCTGTTGGCAATGCGACGACATTCCATTCTGTGCCTCCACTGCACCCAACATAATTGTTTTCTTCGCCACATAGATTGGAAAATAATACGCTTGAGATTACAACGCTCCACAAGGCGTACATCGCGCCAAATCTGAAACGTCTGACGCTTAAGGCGTAACGACGTCAACTTGTCACATTCTAAAAACAAAGATCTAAGTAATTTCGCACTGGCATGCGCATCAGTGATTGTCGCAGCATCAAGCTTACTCTTCACTGGAGAAGCCTCAGTGCGTGGTACTACTGCTTGCCCTATTGTGTTTGCTTCCACAAAAACTTTTTCAAAGTTTTGAGTTAAGGCAAGGCTGCTGCCGCTGCAGCTCTTGTTAATGTTGGTGTTCATATTTCTGCTACCACCACATGTTGGGGCTTGTTTCAGTGCTGCGTCTTGCAGTTGCAGAGCCGCGGGCCACTCCGCGTGTTCACTAGAGACCGTGCTTGGGACTTGTGTGGCACTTTCTTTGGGCGGCGATGTGGTGTAGGAGGCAAGGCCTCGCAACAAGTGCATGCCATGACGCTGCTGCCAGCGCACAAATGCCATCAGCAGAAGTGACGTCCGCCGCCACGTCCGGGCATGTTGCTCCATCGACATAGTCAACAAAGCAAACGGCAAAGTCTCTCTGAACCACTGATGAGGACAGCCACAGGCGACTTCGGCCGATGCTCCACTCCTTGCCAACTCAGGAAACACCTGCAGTAGAAGCATCAAGGGAGCTTTCAGCGACTCGGAAGCGGAGTGAGTCGTGAGGTACTCTATAGGACCAGCCGACAAGGCACACCGAAGCAGGGGAGCAATTGAGTCCTCGTCTTTTTTCCATTTCCGCGTAATGAATTCCGTCAACGCGGCGATGATGCTCGAACGCAGGGAAGAGTTTTGTAAAACCGCTCCAACGGCAGCGGCAATCTCTCCATGATAATGCTGGCAAGCTCTATGAGGATGGTGCTCACAGTAGAGGAAGTGCACCGCCGTGAGAAGCACATGTTTGCCCATGTTCTCAATGAGAGATGCCGCCTCGGAGGTTGCCACATACGAACTCGCCATGGCAACCAGACGTAAGTTGAGGGAGGTGCTGTTGTTGGTGACAACACAAAAGGCAAGAATCGTGCGACAAGCCTGTGTGAGAAGTGCCTGAAGCAACACCATGCAACCACCACGGTACATATTGTTCTCAATCATCGTTGCCTTTCCCAAATAGCCATGAACAGTAAGACGATGTCCCACCCACTTTTATCTCTCCCCCTTTTTTCCCCCTCTCCCTGCGTTCCTGTCTGCCCTTCGCAACGGCTGCAGCCACCCTAAGACACACGGCAAAATCTCCGCTACCCAGCAAAAGTGTGAAGTGCGCACCAGCAAACAAAACCCCGTCCCCCACTACGGAAACCACCGCCATTGTGGACAGAAGAAGTAAAGGGAAAATACAGACACACCAAAAATAGCAGGAATAACAAAAAAAAAGCAAAAAGCTGCAACACACAAACAAAAAAATATATATGAAAGGCAACAAAAGCGGGAAATGTCGTGTTGAGTTTATGTTGAGAGCGCACCAACGCATACCCGTCTCCCACGCTGAAAGAAGACAACAACATCACACAAAGCCACGCTGACCTGTTCGTAGCGAGATAGAAACACGCCAGTAAATGAAAAGAGAAATAAATATCAGTGAGATCAGAAATAAAATCAAAAAAAAACAAGTGGGACGGAAGGGCAGTAACCAGAAACGTGGCGGAGATGAAACGCAATGGATGCACCAAAATCAAAAAAAAAGAAAGAAAAAAGAAAGAAGAAAAAAAACACTCTCAGGCGAGGATAAGCGGAGAATAACGGAGCAGACAGAGCGACATGCAAGCATTCATACGGCCCCCCACCCCTTCTTTTGTTCACTTTTTTTTTACCCTTGACTTTCTCCCTCCACCCCCCCCACCCTTCTAGCAAAGACAATGACGAGGAGAAATACCACACAACCGGCATATTGACGTTTCTCCCCCTACATACATACTCATGTGACAAATATACGTCTCAACGATGAAAAATAAAACTCTTCCTTTGTGCGTGGACACACCACGAAATTCTGAGAACGATCACCTTCACTGTTTTTCTTCATACAACACTGTATGACAGCCAGCTTAGACAGAACAGTTCCATTCGGAAGTGCAATTGGGTAGTTTCCACCTGTCCCACCATCAAGGCATTCCTTTGTCAGGTAGCAGTAAAAGCGTGTGGGGCGTTTGATAAAGAGTACATCGTTGCTCCAGCGTTCCTCCGCTTCAAGAAGTTCTTGCGCTGTCAGTGGCACTGTACCGGTGTCTTCATTACCTCGAACCGAAATGAGGGTACTACGAAGCGTCTCTTCCACCAGAGTCATCATCGATTGATCAAATGCGACAGAACCAGATTGCGTGTTTAGGTGAGTTTTAAGAATAGGCGGGTCGAGTGGAGAGACGGCGGCACGTCGTTCCAGTACCATGCGATCAAAGTACTCGTCTTTCAAAAATATAGCTGTTGCCACCACGCGCGTCACAAGATCCGGTAGCGGGTGCGTCCAATCACGTCCCGTTTCGTCACTCCCTCCTTCTTTACCTTGAAACCTTCCAAGGGCTTCACTGACCGAGAGAAGTTGGGATCCAAGTAATATTGCCACTTTGTGAAACGACACAGCAAGCTTGTGGTAGCCTTCTACAGACATCATACAGGCCACAAGACGTGCTGACTCTTCGTTCTTCTTTGACAGCAAACTTTTTGCTTTTGACATCGCCGCACAACGCTCTTCACAGCCACTTGTCGAAGGTTTCTCTGCATTTATTCCTGAAGAGCTGTAGGGCTCATTCTGCGGTGTTGCAGCACTGATAATGGCTTGCACAAAAGCTGACCTCCGTGATGCATGTGGCACAAGGTGGGCTACAATGTATTGAAGAACAGCCTGTTCGGGGGTTGTTCCATCTCGGAAAATTTGTAACAGCCTTGTAGCATGGAGTTCCACCAAAAGATCATGCAACATCGCCAAAACTTTTTGCCGTCGCTTGTCATCAATGCGCTCCGCTGCAGGTAAAAGTCGCTCCTCACAGTACGCGATGGCCTCAGTGACGGAATGTCGTGCTTCAATACACTGAATGGCAATGTGCTCTGGCGCCACCGTAGTGGAGGCTGCACCCTGCTCCTCTTGTTGGGAATGTGACGGGCTCGCTGTGAGAAAAGTAAAGGTATGCAGGGATTGCAACTTCCTACCCTGATTATCATATAAATTATTATTGACGTTAGCGCTGTCGTTGGTGTTGGCGCCGCTGATACTTCCGCCATGAATTGGCGGAAGCGGAGGAAGTAATAGTGATATAAGCGTTGGAAACCAAAACAGTGGTAGTCCGTAGGCGTCCGCAACGTGACGCGCAAGCTGATGGCGGTCTGTGGCGATGAGGTAGTCAACCATCTCCATGCGCAGACGCAACATCCTACACACTATATAATAGTTCGCCCTGTTTAATATATGCGGCATCGTTGGTGAGCAAACGTAACGAAACGCATCATGTGCAACATCATCATCTTTCTTTGGGACGTTAGAGGTGGACCTCTTTTCATCCTCCTCTTTGATCCCTAGAAGCGGCGTCATACACTGCAGACGAGGCAGCTCATGCTCCAAGAGTAAGGATGCCCGATCAAAGAAGGCACTGTACTTTCGAAAAACATTAAGCACACGTGACGCAATTTTATCCAGCGATCCAGCTGCTGCTAAAGGGTTTGGATTTGTCTGCTCACGTTTGACTAGTGCCGCCAAAGCCGTCTTCACCGGTTGGAGTTCTCTAGAGAGCTTCTGAAGCTGCCGCAATGTCTCGATGGCATCTTGCGTGGCAGGATTCATTGTTTTTGTCCTTCTTTGCTTGTTATTATTTCTTCTTCACTGGCGTGTGAGAAGACACTAGAATGATGGCAACTGAAGGCACTCTGTGACTGCACTCCCTACTTCCGAGCAGGTGTGTGTTTCGAGTGTAATCACCTGCAGAAGGGCAGTCGTGACCCCCCCACCCCCCAAAGCCCAAGCAAACAAAAAAAAGAATAGCAAAACAAACAATAACTGTGGTTGAAGTAAAATAGTTGCAACCGGCATCTGGCGGATGCCCGGCGGTAAAACAAAAAAAAACAGACATAAATGATAATGGTGGTCATGGCAGTAATACGTGTGAATGAAGGAAAAAAAAGGAAAGGACACACCCTCCACAGGGGCCATCACGCCACGCCTGCAAGAGGATGAGAGAGAAAACAAACTACAAGAATACAACAGAAGGAGGTGCTTATACAGTGGGGCCCTTATTTCATAATAATAATAATAAGAAATAACAACAAAAAAGGCAAGCAGGCTTCTGTTTTTCTATGTTTTGTTGTGTTTCTACTGTTATTATCCGTATGAGATTACTTATATTTAACTTAGTGGCCCCCAAGTGCCTCCCCCTCTTTTTTTTTTTTTGGAAATTCTCAATGCCTCCTCCGCTTCCTACCTGACTGCCCGCCTCGGAACCATTTCTTTTTTTTTTTGCTCTTCCTGCCTCTGGCCCCATACATTCTCCTTCTATTTCACATCATCTATTCGTTGGTTCCTCTTCTTAACTTTTCTTTCCTTCTCGCTTTTCCGTCCTTGCCTTTATTCCTTCCTGTTGATACCCCTGTTACTTGCTCCCTCGTCTATGTGTGTGAAGCCACACGCAGGGCGTTGGAAATCGCCACCTTCACCTGACGCAGAAAAGACTCCATGCTCAAGACCTCGTCGCGCGCAGGAAACGCGCCCCACACCTCGTCGCTCTGCACCATCTCACTGCGACGCGTGGGCTCCACCAAGGCACCAATAGAGACATCGCCAGCAGCTGGGGGAAATGTGACTGCATCAAGCGCCAGAGAGCCGGCATCCCCCATCTTACCAAGCGGCATTCTCCCACTACCAACATCTCCAAGAGTGACCGTAGAGATCTGGTTTGTGAAGCTCCCATCCACTGAAGAATCTGTTACCCGCTTCAGACTTATTTGTGGTGGGGTGTCCAGGAGTTGTTGATAAATGTTTGTGGAGTGACCATCATCCTGTGGCCGTGCCGAGATGGATGGGTAAATGGATCGATTGCTGATAGAGGGTGCGGCAACGCTCCACCGCCCGTCGCTCGCCTGACTGACCCTTACACCTTTGATGTAATCTGAGTGAAAGGCTTTCCATAGATTCACAACGCGTTGAGCCTCTTCCAGAGCGTGCACAATAGGACCCCACTGGCTCCTCGCGTCTCTTACGTGTGCCGCCCGATCCAATAGCAGAAACGCGTGTAAAAAGAGAACAAGGGAGTGAAGTGAGACAATGTGGGGTATAAAATGCACCGCCTGCACCACTCCACTATAATAGGCGTTCTCCATAGTAACCACCACCTGCTTCGTTATGGTTACCATGAGTTCCTTGCTCTGTGAGTCATCGCAAAGACGTGGTGCATGCTCCTCTCTACCTGTACCATCTGCATTCGTCGCAGCAAATCCATTCTCTCCCCACGCTGCAAAAAGTGCACTCAGGTTTTCTGCTCGCAACAGAAACCTCAAAATGTTTTGTACTGCGATCGATATCTGTTGGCGTTGAGTTGGCGAAGGAAGGGAAGCCGTCTGACCGACGCCGAGTGGCGATGCCACTGACATAAGTGTTGTTGCGGTGTCAGTCACAAAAATGGGACTTTCGACAAACTCACTCTTCGTAAGAAGGGCGAGAAGGTCGGTAAGCGCAAATAGGTGAACCAGCGCACGACACTCATCTACAAGTGGTGAGCAGGAGAGACGGTAGAGCATTCCACCAATTTCAACAAAGAGGCCTAGCGTCAGCGGGTCCACATACTGCCTGTGAACATCCAAATAAGGAGAACCCAACACACTTTGAAACAGAAGCTGATTGGTGCGCACAAACTCGGCAATCGGCATAAGCGCCGCCTCGGAGTTGTCCAAAGCGGACAAAACCCCATTAAACCAACGTATGGTATACAAAAAAACACTTTTAATGACCTCCCTGTACACCTCAATGTTTTCAGACCCATACGCATCAGTCCCACCATGGCTGCTCGTGTGCCCCAATACAATTCGTGCGCTCGTCCTCCATACCTTCATGGCAATACAGCGTGAGAGCGCATTGATTTGAATAAGTTGGACGGCGTGCTGCTGAGAAATAATCATCAGGAGGTCAAAGACAATTTGTGCAAGCCACAAAATAGAGGCAACTTCCGTCCCGCCATGAGCGAGAAATGCGGAAATCGATTCATCGATTGCCTGAAATGCACTTGTTATGCATGTCATCAATTGTGGGTTCGTACCATCACCAGTGGATGATATGCACAGCATTTCACAAAGCTGTGGAGAGAAATGCAGTAACTGACCAAGCAGCGCTAAGGCCGCCAATTTGTTCCCATCCGATGATGCGCTGGCTATATCCTGTACAAGAACATCAAATAGTGCCCTGTGGTGGCGTTGAAGCGTGTTATCATCTACGGAGACACCAGGGGTCCCAAGGAAAGCCATAATAGCACTGTAGAAATGCTGTCGTGTCATGCCCACACGTGGACCCCACCGTACAGTTGTTAGTACAAGCGTTTTCAGCAACTGCAAACTCTCCAAATCAATCAAAGAATGACCAAGCATATCTGTAACATCTTGATTACTCACAATAAGAGCTCCAGAAGCATCTCTCTTGACAGCACGTGAATGCACTTCGGTAGTATCCGTAAGGCTCTTCTGTGCTGTTTGCGAAAGTGCGAAGATTTGTGGAATATCAGCTGTGTCGTGCTGTATGCGTCGCGAGACATTAACGCTTCTATCCATGATTGTTTCGTTTCCAATGTTTAATCCACCCGCTAACATGGACCCCTGTGCGCCGTTTTGCGGAACACGAACAAGGGCACCCTCCTTATTGAGTACCGCCTGACGTTTAAGCTGCGCCATAAGTGTTGAAAGAGTCTGGCTGAGCTGATACACAATTTGTTCCTGGGCTGCCACTGTCAGCGAAGAAGTCAGTTGAACACTCTCCAACATGCAGTGCGCCAAGTACACAATACGTTCTTGTTGAATATTGTCCAGTACGGTGACTGAAACATTCGCCAGAGTGCACCAACCTCGATGAATTGTACACCGCCTGCAAACGCAGCGAGACATTCGTTGGCTCGGACAAAGACGCTAAGTCGCTCCCGAATTTCCTTCGCAGAGAGAGCTCGTTTGCTATTCATCTGACTCTCCCTCTGAAACGCCTCATAAATCAGTGGAATCGAGTACTGCGGGGTGTCATCATTGGCGCGGAAGATGTAACCTTCTGCCCCACCAGGAGCCACACAGTTCGTTGGGAACAATGGAAGAGACTTTAAACAGAAGGATGGCCACTGTGCGAAGTCCACCGCAATGCCTCTTTCATGGGTATCAATGACACTGGGTGAAGCAAATCCATTCAACTTCAATGGCATCAACTGTGGTGAGACATGCAACAGCAAGAAGAGAAGTTCCACCAAACTGGAATTGGGTGTCGAATGCACAGACACCTGTAATTCTTCAGGTGTCTTTGTTCCAATACTGAAGACATCAAGCGCCAACAGTTTCATGACAAAGGCGTATTTGTTCAATATGAGCGGGGAACATTGATCCGGACGCAGGGTTTGTAAAACATAAAACATCTCGTCATGTCCACGCTGTTTCATCAGGCGTTGAAGACTGGGAGTGCTGAGAGAGGGATTGGCACGAAGAAGATACACCAACTTCACATATTTAATTGCAATATGTGGATGCCTCTCTTCAACCTCGCGACTATTCGCTCCCACTATGATGGGTTCGAGACAGTAGCCGGCCAACAACTCCTCGGTGGAACCGTACAGTGGATAACCACAGAGCCAAGAGGTGATGGAGGTCTGAGGAGCCAGTGCATTCTGAATAAGAAGATCTAAAATGAGCGACTTGGTCTCCACTTCCGCATGGGGGAGCAGAAGCTGCACCTCATCGTGATCCAGCACGGCAAGTGCAGGTGGGACGTGAATGATAGGGCTGCTGACAGCATCCAGACGTAGCGCGGTTACAAATGGTGTGATAACGACCTCCAGGGCGTCTGGCCGACTAAACCAATGACGTGTTGCCTGGCTCACCGTAGGTTGCGGAATCAACAAAAGAAGTTGAAGCGCCTTCCTGACAAGAAGACTGTCCGCACAGGCACTCAGTGGAAGTAATTGGGCGGCAAGCTCGGTGTTACTTGCGGTTCTGGCATCGAAGGTAAATAGGGTGTCTATACCTTGTTCCTCTTTTACTGTGATGGCGGTTTTTAACAAGGCAAGACACTGACGCACCGCTGCACGTTGATAACTGAGCAATTCATTGGGTGCTGTGGCGGCCTCAGAAATAATTTGCAACGCTTCACCCAATACATCCGCAGGTGCTTTTGAGCAGGCCATGACCACTGTAAAGGGAACCATGTTCTTGTCCCCAGTAAAAACAAGACGCAGTGTCAGGGCACGATTCAGTGCTGCAGCAGCTAGTGCAGCCACAGTGTATCGCTCCTCCACAGACACAAAAAAGCGACGAAGAACGCCTCGAAATATTTCCTCGGCAATAAAACGTATAACCAGCGTATACATGGGTAGGTGTTCCATCCCAGGTGCGTGATACTTGAAAAAAGCAATCATCAGATCGAGAAACCCAATGGTTATACTGTAAGTTCCATGATGGCATTCGTACTGGCAGTGACCAAGTAGCGATCGTGCCTCCACGGTGACAGCTGTATTGTCATCCGCGCCACCATTTACTCGGCGTTTCACATCGCCTGTATTGTTCTGCCTCCATCGGCCAACTGCAGCACCGCCACCACCACCACCACCATCACCCTCTGTAAGAGAGTGAAGCAGATGATTTTCCTCCAACAGCGTCCACACACATGAGGCCTCCTCATGGTTTGTAATTAATGAGCCAATGATAGAAAGCACCTTCCCAAGCACGGGCTGCGACAGTCGTGGGGCATAGAGAAAATTAAGAGCCGTATCAAGCGTGATAACATAGCGCACTTGCTCCTGAAGCAGTGGGTGCGTTGCCATTTGGCGCAACAATATAAACATGCTGGCAATAAATTTCTGTTGCTTTTCCAGGAGGTACTCCTGTGTGAACTGACGATGATGTGAGGCAGTAGCCCCTGTGGGTTTTTTTAGTGCCGACATGGAACCATTCACATCTAGCCACAGTAACGATGACACTCCTCCACTCACGCCAGCACATTCTTGTGCCTGCCCGACAAGCGAGGACCACTGCAGCTCCGTGCATTCCACCTGCATTTCACCAAACAGGGCCACAACACGCTCTGTGTACTGTGGATTCCTCCCAATCATCGCCAATACATCAATAAACTTCGTCACAATCTTCAGAGTATACGACTCCCACATCACATTTGGTCGTTGTGTCTGAAAAACAGAACGCAGGTGCGTAACACAGTTTTTAAATATAAAAAACGTCACTGCACAGTCAGCATCCATGTCAGGGTTCAACACATCGGAGGGAAGGTTTTCCAGACACACCGTGAGGGCCTGGAGGATGTGCGCCATCTCCGAAAAGAACGGCTCTCGTTGATCCTGTGCCATCCTCTCTACACCGTACTGCTGTAACCCACCACCACCACCTGCCGCAGTTGAAAAGGGCGTGTTAGTAAAGCCAGCCTCGTCGCCCTGAAGTGCATCGGCGCCAGCCTGCAAGGACTCCAAGTATCTAACACAAGAGCGTACATCATTATCGGCCACATGTTTTATTGCGAAAAGCATTTCATCAAACATGTAAGCAATAACATCGTAAGGAATGATATAGATATTTTCAGCTGGAATCACCAGCAAATTCGGCAACGGAGTTAAACGAACAAAGTATTTCATGACTTTGCCACGGTTCGCTGAATGTGGGGATTGACAGCGATCACCCAGAAACGCCTCCACCGCCTTATCTAGACCACGCTCATCACCCTTCCCACAGAGGAATACCCCCACCCCCAGCAAAATTATGCTGAGATACCCTTCCACGATGGATACCCAGCGGAAGTACTGCCCACCACCAGCCTTTACCCCTGCGTCAAGTGGGGCGGACGGCTTTGATTGCCCTCCTTTACGGTGCCCAGCGACGGAAAATGACAATGATCCCGATGTCTGCGGATGCTCAAACTTGGAACGTAGCTTCCTGACCCAATCCTCTACTTCAATGGCAATGTTGGTGGCAAGCAAAGTGTTTTCCTTGGATTGCCCAGTGTTGTCACGAAGCTGTTTCCACACCGCCATACTATTCACAAGGGATACCGTTAAAAGCCATGTCACAGCAGAGATACCCGCCGTTGAAGGATGCTGGCGAAAAGAGTCTATGTTTGTCACCGCCGTGTGTGTGTGCCGACGCACCTCCTCCATGAGGAACTCCAAAAGTCCGCACAGTTCCTTAATGAATGATTCCTGCAGCTGAAAATGGCGTGTGAGCAGCAGTAAACACTGGGAGGTGAGCAAAATAGGATTTGATTTTCCATGCGCGGAAAAAACAGGTGAAACTGAGCTGTGGCCTGACATGAGAAGAGAGGACGAGGAAACTTCTGCCCTAATAAATTGAACGATGTTGCTAGCTGCGATTGAGGCAACAGCGGCCAATGTCTCGTTGACGCCGGCCAACCTCTCAGGCTCTCCGCAAAGTACGAGGAGGCTGAGCAAGACACGAGCCCTTCCCACATGTTCGTTAACAATTTCAAAAGAGCCAACCTGTCCCACAGGAGCATCACCCACAGAACCTAATAGCGCTAACGGTTGTTGCTGTTGCTGTTTTTGCTCCTGCGTGGTAGCAGAAAAACCTCCAAAACTGCTCGTTGCAGCAGTTCCAATCAGCCCCGGAGCCGTCGTAGCCGTATTCGTGGCACTCGCCGATGGTGCTTGGCTGCCGCTACTCTGCTTAAACGACGAAGTTAAGTACGCCTTAATGTCTGCAATAGCTGTCGCACTAAGACACCCGTCACGACATGCAGAGCCGATTTGTTGCAGAATAGTTTCCGCACTCATTTACCGTTTCCTCCGTCTCTCTGCCCCTTTAATACTGTTCTCTTTGCCACTTCTTCTTCCGGTCGCCCCTGTGTTCCTGAGGTTCCGGTGAGACGACGACCCAAAGAGGCTCAAATGACGGGCACGTGAGTCTTTGTGCTCCTTCAGCTGTTTCCTTCTCTATCTCGTCTCGCCCGCTGCGCCCTGGAGTTTTTTTTTTTTGCCCCTTTCTCCTCCCCAGTTTTCCCTTCGTTTTTTTCTTTTATGACGGATCAAATTATTCACCCACCTTCTATCTCTTTCTTTCTTTCGCGCACGCGCCCCTTCTTTTAGTTCCTCTGGACTTTGCACCCCTTCCCTTCCGCTTTGCTTTTCAGCATCACCACCCCCGACAGAACCATGCGTGCATGCATCGTGCGGTGAAGGCGGCAAAGACAACAGGCAAAGAGGAATCAGAAACAACAAAAAAAACAGGATGGTGATGCTGCAGGAGTTCAGCAAGTACCCAAAGCGCATACAAACATGGCATCAGGAAGAAGTTATGACTGAAGCACACACACAGAGAGAGAGAAAGGAAAAGGAAAGGGTGAAAAAGAACATAAAATACAATAAAACAATTCTAGACATTTATCCGTGCATCTAAACAATCACACAGCGCCGCTAGTGGTGCAACATAAAAACAAAAAAAACACGAGTAGCGGTATACAAACGACAGAGGACACAAAATGGTCCAATACAGTCAGGCACACAGAGCGAGAAAAAGAATCTCGGAAAGGAAAATACTGAACACACGAAAGGACAATGACGCTTGCAACTAAGGCAATTTCATTCCCCTGGTGCCTCCCTAACCGCGTCTCTGTGCGCACGGCCACCTTTACAGCCATCCGTACTCATTCACGCTGCCTTCGCTTTCGTGAAAGTCGTGCAATCGTTTCTCTTAGATCACTCACAACCTTTTCTCTCCTTTTCAACTCTGCCTGCGCCGCCTCTAGTTCCTCACGCTCCTTGCTAAGCACCAAACGCGTGGCGTCTACATTCTCCATCTGTTTCTGTTTTTCCTCTTTCAAACGCTGAATCCTCCGCATGCTCTCCGCACGCTCCTGCTGCATCACTCGCTGCCGCTCCTCATAATCTTGCAAACTCTTGCTACAGACTGCAGCCTCCGCCAGCTTCTGTGTGAGTTGCTGCTGTAGTTCAACGTTTTCATCCTCGCTCCGCTTCACTGCATCCCGTTCTTCTGCGAGTGTGCCATTAATAATGTGATCGCGAACATCCTGCTCAAGCAGTTGCACTTTTCGGCGTTCCTCCTGTAGTTGTTGCTCTTCACGTGCGCGTCGTTCTCGACGCTCGTGTCTTGCCTTGGAAACGGCACTAGTGAAATAATAATGATGCCAGCCACCGTTCTGCTGTAGGACCTCCTCGCCGTCGTGGCCCTCGAGGCAAATGGTATTGGTGTAGTAGTACTCCAGTGTATTGCGTTCTAACTGAAGGGAAACAAGCGACTGTTGCCTAAGTTTCTGCTCCAACAGTTCGAGCTGCGCCAATGTTTCCTTGTACGCCAGTTCAAACAAAGATTTCTTTTTTGTCGTCTGCGCAATGGACTGCGCGGCGACGTTCACGGGTCGCACGGAGAGTGCAGGTTGCCGAGGTTGCTTCGGACGTTTGCTCGCCGCGGCAAACGAACTCCACGGCGCCTGCGGAAGTGACCGCTGCTGCTGCGACATTTCAAAAGAAACGGCCAGTTTACGCACCCCCACGCCGACCTCACTTTGTGCAGCAAAAACCCAACAAAAAGTGGGGAGAACCCCCAGAGCGCAAAAAAAAAACAAAACAAAACAAATGAATAAATGGTGAGAGAAAAGAGCAACGGACACAATAAGAACAACAACAACACGACACATAAATAGACACCAAAGAAAGTAAGCCTGAGCAGAAGAGAAGGAGGGGGAAAAACACAACGACTACGTGAGAGAAGTAGGGCTATTTCACTCTCTCTCTCTCTCTCCCACCCCCCGTCACACACACACACACACACACCACACTACTCCCTACTCCTCCCACAAATTCGACACAACGCTCTCGTTGAGGACGAACAAAAAAAAAAAGTGCATGAGCGGTTATTACTCAGCGTGCTAAGCAATTTCCTTGTTCAATCTCAGCTCCTTATCACCATCGATGCGAATCATATTTATCGGCTCCCCTACGAGGGAAAACATCACCAATCCCGCGTACTGTCGAACCTCTGACGGTGAACATAATTGAACAAACTCACTCCACGAAATATGGTGAACAAACTCAGCCCACGTGATAAGACCGGAGTCAGGGTGCGGCAGGGCACTTGGACTGTCAGCCTTAAAGCGCTGTTCCCGCATCATCTCAATCTGGGCACAACTCTCACAGTGACCAATGTTTCTCGGCACAGTGCTAGTGCCACTTACCCCAGTTCCCTTAAACGTTAAATCCTGCATCTGCCACTGCATCCTAAAAGTGTTGGCAAAGTCCAAGTTTCTCAGAAATCGCTTAACGGCAAACACTCCATAAATGCAAAGCTCACTATCGCTCACACGGGCGCAGAACGCACTCCACGGTAAGCACATTGCAGCCTCAATGATTCTTCCGCCAGTTTCACATGTTGGTTTTGTATTGAAAAGAGTTAAAGACAAATGTGGTCCGTGCGCTTCTTCTCTTATTCCTTTCCCAGCCACACTGCCTCCATCCTCTGATCTCGACACGGTCTCAGCTGTTTCAAGATTCAACATATCTTCAAAAATGTTATGGCTGGTCACCGCAACCCCTTCCGTGGCGCCTAGTGACTTTTCATCATCGGCAAAATGTGCCTCTGCGCGACGACCAATACGCAATTTGCTACGATCAATGTTGGTAACAATGGCTGACGAAAAGTACCCTTGCAAGAGATCCGTGACAAACCCTCGCATCATATCCAAGCCTGCGACGTGCACTACATTTGACATTTGCTGTTGTAACTTATGCTTGTAAAACGATGAATACGATGCACCCAGCAACCACAAGGTTTCATACACACCCCATTGCTCAATACGACGCCAGACAAAACGGGCGTCTCGCACGGAACGAATAAACAAACTCAGATAGCCAAGTTGCTCCCACATAGGATCGTTCAGTGCCCCAGGAGAGCGGTAGAGAGAGATAGAAACCATAGTTTCCTCAATAAGCAGGTGATCTATGAAAACAACTTGCTGCTTCCAAACCTCTTTCGCATGCAAACTTCTTTTGTTTCCCGTCACACGTGATGCCAGAAGGTGTTCATTCCTCCGACTTGATGAGAGCGGCAGGCTCTCGTTTCCCAGAACCGCACGCATGTGATCCAGACACTTCATTGCCTGAAAGATAAACGAATCCTCGAGATGCACCTCCACGGAGCTGAGGTTAATGACAAACTCTTTAAGACACAAAATAGGGGTTGTGCGAAAAAGGTTGCGCAAGAAGTGGATGGTGGAGGGTCTGGAATCCACAAGTTGCGCCACCACGCGCTGCTTTGCATGTAGACGTCCATCATCCACCTGAATCACGGAGACGGAGAAATCAAACACCTGCTCATCACCATGGCCTTTTGCCTCCTTTCCCTGAGAGAGAAAAAACATGACAGGTTTTACCGTCAAGAGAATAAAGTCCTCATCGTCGTCCGAGAGCAGTGCGTATATACTGTCCACCTTCACCCGAAGGAAAAACTGGAAGTATGGAAGCGAACAGAAGGTGTCAATGGTATTCTCAGTGGTTATACTGATGGCGTAGCTCGTACGGCTTAACCCACGCACCCGAACAAAGAGAATGACACCGTCAGGAAGAGATAACGTTTGCTGCAGCTGTTCGCTGCGTCGTAGTACGGCTTGTGGTTCAAAGTTAATGAGGAGAGGCTTGATGCGAGCGGTCCGATTCTCAGCTTCCCACAGTTCCATCACCGGCTGGGACTTTGAATCTTCCCACGCGAGGCCTCGCGTGGTTCGTGGGTACACAACAACAAGCTGAGAAACACCGCGTTGTCTCACGTTTATTTTGTACCTGGTGCGATTCTCAACAACAAGCGGGGGCCGGTGCGGCCTGGAAACCACAACAAACATCGTACCCCCGCGAGTATGACACGAAACCATCAAAACATCCGATACCGCACGTGTAAAACATGACACATCGCCAATTTGAATGACTGTATCATCAGGATACACGCAACAGCCACCTTGTACCTTCATTTGTAATTCGTAGTGAACATTAAAGGCACGTTCACTCAGCTTGTCAATTTTAAGAGGGTGTGACCAGTAAGAGCGTTGAATTCCGGTCTCCTCATCTGGAGAAAGCCGCACTTGAATAGAATTTGCCGCATTACCTCCACGAGAAAAATCAATGACTTGACTCTGACTTGGGGCCAACTCGACAGACCGGGGGATAAAATTTGTGTTGCCATTCGCTTTAACTCCACACTGGCGGGAGGTAATTGTGTTATCGGTGCAATTCTGTAAAATCCAGCGGGGGCTAAATGTGACGACACGAGTGGCCTTCATGCGTCCCCCCACAAACTCCACAGTGTACGATAATGACAAGTTGACATGCTCGCGGAAGCTACCATCGAGAATTCCACTCTCACGCAGTGGACCAATAGGAACTTTATCAGACCACTTTGTCCATTGAATATCACTATCCGATATATATCGCCCAATCGAAACATAAATTACCGCCTTATCCCCGAGCTTCTCCATGCGTTTCGTGTTAAGAAGATACGCGGGGCCATCACTATTGATACCGCCAATCACATTCCTGGAAGCAGCGGGTGTGATGCCGTGTTCGCTGCACAGTCCCGCGGTTAGTGCGCCATTCTTTACATCTGCAACTCGCAAGCAGTGTGGGGTTCGGTTGATGATCCAGTACGGGCACCAGATGGTTACCACCCTTGGAACATAATCAAGGTGAAGAATGATGGAGGCACCGCGTTGGTCGTGCAGGGTGATGGTGCGATCACACACTCGCTTGCTGACAGAGCGCACAAGCGCAGGAGACGGACTTGATCCTGAGTGACGGAAGGTTTGACCCATCGCTTCCCCGTTTGCCTGAGCAACAAACACATCAATGTAAATGTCTTTTAACGGAGTCACTTGAGTAATACAAGAGCGCTCCCCTGAGGCAACATCAATCGTCGTGACCTGTTCGTGGGAGTTGGTTTCCTCAAACACTAAAAGCGAACAGTTTTGTTTTTGGGTTTCCCTACGGTAAAGTAGACGAATCCGCATCGGAAGACTTGTGCCATTAACAATCATAAAAGGCGCCTCAAATGTACCTCTGCAATCGATCACATCGGAAGTACCGATACATTTTTTCCCACTGAAGCGAAGGCAAAAAAAGACAGACTGCCTCAAGGATGTAGAGGCCTGTACGGAGTTGCTGGTCTCCAGGATCTCGTTACAGTCAACTCTGCAGACACCCAGAAAAACCTGCTCATGGAGAAAAGGCAACATGTCATAGGCCACACCCAGGGAACAAGAAGTACTGCAGTGGCCTTCCTTGTATGGCATAAAAGAGGTCCGACGCCGCAGACAATGAACAGGTAGATACAGGACACCACCTGGCGGAACCAACCCCACCCCAGCAACATCCATAGAAAATGGAAGTTCATTTTTAAACGTAATATTTGTGCGAAACTCCACCAACTTCTGTCCCCCCGAGACGGTGACATCCACCAGCAGATTACGATCCACTAGGCCAGGGCCACGAAAGATGAGGTGTTTTCCTGTTTTCGCAATGCTCACCACTTCCTTTTTATTTAGGAACGACACCAACAAACGATGCTTCCAGAGAGGCAACTCATGACCCTCAACACGAGGGAAGTTAAACTGCATGATCTCGTTAGCATTCAAAATGGAGGGTTTGCAAAGGCTATCGTGGCTATTGTGGGCAAAGCGGATTTCCAGGTTGTGTCCAAAGTGTTGTGTCACTCGATACATGCAGAATTGTTGCTTCATTGCCCCGTGTGGCTTACAAAGCGTGTCCTGTTCAAACGCATGTCCTGCATCCTCCAGGCCCTTCTTCAATAACCACACACGACGCACATTTTCTAGCACTCGCGCAGAGAAGTGTAGACGTACAGGGCGTAAATGAAGCCCGACTCGCAAATATCCTTTTCGACGCCTTACGTCTTCGAGCGACAAATTGGGCTCACTTCGCAACACAAAGTCCAAAAGGACGGGCTCAAGCAACGAACACCACGCGGAGGTACTAAAGTTGTAGTAGATAATACTGCAGGTGAAGGAAACATGCAACTTGAGAGCTAAGCCTTTCTTCTCCACCTTCGGGGTAACGAGATTGTCAATGCGGGCGCGAAAGAGGGGAATATTGACATCGCTGCTGTCATCCACGACATCCACGCTAAAGTATCGCAGGTTAAACGACAAACTCGTATGCTTTACCACCTGCGTTGTTCCGTTGCTCTCCTGACTAGTGTACTGCGGTGTCTCCAGCGAGGAATCAACTTCACTACCCACAACGTCATCCAGCACATTCTTCTCAATATGACCTATGGCCTGCCGCGCCTGTAGGACAGCGTCCCAACAAAGGTATACGTCACCGTAACGGAGTTGTACCTCAATGTCGTGAGGACAGTGCACCTCGACATGCTGCTTCAATAAATTCTCCAACTGTGAACGTGACTGAGTGTGGTGAACCGTCAGTGCCCATTCAGAGACTAGTGGTCGGGTCTCCATTAGACTTCCATCCGCGTCAAGGTATTTACTGTACAAGACAAACTCACTCATGTCAAATGTACTGGAGCCATCCATCACACGGCTGTCAGAAATTGTCATTTCCATCTCCACCGACATCGTAGCTTGAAGTACCAATGAACGTGAAAATTGCGCTGTATGTGAAGATTTTTGGGGAGCAACATGTAACCCATCCGTTCCCTCTGGAAGCGTGAGTAAGAGGACGGCACTAGCCGTAACGCGTCTAGTGACACTGTTTGTACGACACCCTCCTACTTCAGACGAACCCAAAACATTATCTTTAGTGTTTCCACTACCACGTCCTTTTGAATTACAACGGAGAGGTGAAGACGCAGTCTCGTCTTCCCCGTTTTTAAAATCCAACGTGTTTGACTCTGGACCAGCGGCTGTGGTGCGGACTTCACCGCAAGATTGAGGTGCCTCGTTAATGAGTACATTACGGGCTGAATCTGCAATGACGTATGACCCATTTCCAACGGCCATGTAATATTCAAGAACTTTCCCATAAAGGTGAATGCGCGCGTTAATGATGCAAAGTGTAAGACCATCGCCAAGTGACAAGAGAGGCGATCTGGCGTCAATGAAGTAAATGTCATGCCCATTACCATCAATGGTGATGTGATTGTACCGCCCCTGCACCACCCGCACCTTGTTGCGCTGAGATAGCACCAGCCGTTCTTGCAGAGTGATGTCACCATCGATGGATCTTACATCGTGCACGTGGTATTCTTGCAGCACAATTCTACGGTAGGGCTCGTAAATTGTGGAAAGCAACAAGTGCATGGTGCTTTTTTCGAGTAGCACAACAGCTCTTCCAAAGTCTATTTGAATCTCTTCCTTCCCCTTGCTGCATGCGTCAAGGCAGAAAGAGAGGCAACCATACGACGGCAAAATACCCACAGACTCATCTTCCTCCTCCTGCTTCTCTCCGCTACTGTCCCTCGTCAAGCAGGAGGAGACAGTAGCCGTGGGACGCATGTCAAGAAGGTTTGGCCTGTTATCCGCGCCCAGGGTAATAAAATTCAGGTTGATATGTACCCGCCGTGCCACAGTGGGGTTGACCCTCAGCTCCCTTTCGCCTGCGGGGAGATCATACATCGCAGACATCTCCCCCATTTGAAGGAAGAAGCCCACATTGTTGCGTAGCACACGCAACGTAAAGGATTCCCACTCCACGCAGACGCGAATGCCAAAACTACTTCCTCGCACTGAGGCAGGTACATCGCCAGATCCACTTACTGTGGGGTCACCCAACGGTAGACGGAGACACAACGCCGTGTCCTCTACGCTTGCACTACAGGTATCAAAAAACTCTGCCTCGATCGCCACAAAATTCTGCACCAAGCTGTGTAAGAGAAGTTCATAAAGTGACTGTTCCACTTCAACCATAATTGCATGGAGATTGAGCTGCAATTCCCACATTGCATCACCTTGAAAGTACCCGGAGACGTCAACACGCGTCGGCTTTATAACGTAGCATGGATGCTTCTGCAACAATCTCACGCTCATGGCAGCTAGTGAAACGCCAAAGGAGCTTTCGCCCTTCGTATCCCTCGCCACGAGAATGTCTCCTGGGCTGAACACCACACCACGACCAAAGTCTACACTACCCGCGGCAGCACCTCCGTGTTCTGGCATAACCACACAAGGTGCCTTGATCGTAACGTGCACCGACAACAATGCATCACTTGCCTGGCTGCGGAGTCCCCCATTCCTCCACATTCGGCGTTCCTCCAAAAACGTCCACAACCAGCACAGCTCTTTGTACCCACCCTTTTCAAATACTTCACACAGGGCGTGGATCTCTCGTTTAAGAGGGATAGCAATCCATAAAGAGTCCACGGTTCCCATGAGCCCATGCTCTGCCATACACGTCAGAGAGAGCAGCTGCTTTGCCTTCAAAGCCTCCGTATCATTCTCAGAGCAAAAAGGCGGTACAAAGAGAGGTGTTAGTTTCCATCCACCACCGGACACGTTATTATCCACCACCAGACCGTTTTGGGTAATACTGTCAACAGAAATGGACCACGCACAGTTTGCTCCATACTTCTCTGAAGAAGAAACAAATTCAATAGACTTAATGGAAGCAACAAACAGCGGCATAACACGCTGACGTGGACATAGCAGCTTTGGAATAACCACATTTAATCCTACAAGAGTGAAATGGTGATTGGTAGAATAGTCCTGGAGTGCTGGATCGGGCGGGATTAAAGGAACTCCCGCCACTCGTGATTCCCAACGTAAAATTTGACCATACGCATTTCGAGCATAAAGGCTAAAAAGAGAATCTTTGAGGTTAAATAAGAAATAAGGCTCTGGTGTTATATCGACCGCATGGATTGCAATGCGACTAGACACCAACTTGTCCCCATTTTTAAAATTCACTTCATAACTCCCCTCAATTGCCATGTCTTCATTCATAGTAGCATGACTCATGCTTTGCCGTTCCTCCTCCACCTTAGTTGGTGACATTGCCGTTTCACGGTTTTCATTGTGAAACCAAAGAAAACGAAATGAGTCATCGACAACTTCTTTCGGATGACAGCGAAATTCCACACGATTCTGCAGTAACGGCTCCAATTGCCACACAGAGACCTCTCCAACACTATGGCGGGATAGAAATCCATCACCTAACCTCCACTGAAGCTCCATCTTAAAGCGCTCTATCACAACTGCAAGATCGATAGCAGAACGTTCAAAGCCTACCAAAGAACCTACCTCATCCTCCACACAGTGATACAACCGAGGCGGGTCTTTGAGATGAAAGCACGCGTAGGGAATATCAACAGTCCACTCCGTCAACTCCTCACCAGCACCATAAGCCAGTAGAAATGGATCGATGGCAACCGTATTGGGCAGAAAGCGGGCCCTCCATGGCTCTTCCATGTAGTTCACAAAAAACCAGTCCACCAAGAGTAAAAATTGATGCGTGGTTCCCTGAAAAACCACATTCTCCGGCATTTCAACCCGAAAACGACGAGGACGTGTGCCGTTCCATCCATCTACACGAAAGAGTTCATAAGAAAACTCTAATAAAAAAGATGTGCGGCTCAGCAACGTCACCATATTCACGTTAGCAGCATCATTAATGTTGAATTTCCGTCGCATTTCCTGAATTTCAAGTCCCTCAAGCGTAAGCGTTGAAATGTGTTGCACACATCGCTTTTGACTTGCGGGGTCGCTTTCCCCACCAATGACTAGCGTATCATGAAAGCGACAGAGATCAAATTTTCCCCATAACCTGGTGGCGGGAAAATGAGCTCGCTCGTCTGGAAGTAAGAGTTGCACGTGTGACAATTCTACGTGTTTGTGCAACAGATTCCAAGAAAAAGGCGCAGGTGGGGCGTCGGGTTGAGGCCAACGCAGCAATGGAGTCCCCACAGTATAAGGCTGGCGCCACACCAACCATGTCGCTCTGGAGATGACACCTCGTGAAAACACCTCAATAAGGCTCCATAACTGTGATTGCCAGTAAACAACATTCAAATGCGTTCCTGAAAGTAAGACAAAATGTGTGTAGCGATACCCAGAAGGGCCTCCATTAGCAATAAAATCTGATCTCGACAACATTGGTGGCTCATGATGAATAGAGAATGAAAGGGATAACGTAGGGTTGCTGGTTAGAGTCCGTCCTGTAGTTTTCTCTTCTCTGTGGTTCCTGGTGGGTATAACCACATGAACAAGTTCCCCAGTAGAGGCCGTCCGCATCATTATACGGGGATTATGTATTATCGAATACGTCTTATTGCATCCCTCTGTGTTGCTCCAGTGAATACGCACGTGAGAACCATCTATTACAGTCACGGGCCCACGTGCAGCATCATCCATATCACCACTGCTATCCCCAGGAGGAGCATCTGCATCTAACGCGACATCTGTTTTATCTGCCAATTCAAACCTGTCAGTGGGGTAGTAGAGGGACAGAACAAGGTGTTCCAGAGCGATGGAAAGGTCGTTATTTTGAAGAAGAGCCCCTGCCGGATCGGCCCGCCATTTTTCCTCAATAGATGCTGCTGTTTCATCAGACCAAGGGACAGACTGATACCTCATATACCCATATATTTGATTTGTCATGATTCCTGTAATATCCCATAACATTTCGACAACATTCATCAACTCACTTGAAAACTCCAATTTGACTTCTGCTGAAGCAGTCAGTTTCATGTACTTTCGAGCTAAATGGGGATACACTCGCTCTTTCATTTGAAACAAAATATTTATCGCCGGACATGCACCAGTATCAGCATTCACCATCGCAGCAGAAGCAAAATCAGAAACAGGAGGTGTTGCTGCAGATTTTGTAACCTCCACCACTGGCACAGTTCTCGCGTGCGCCGTAACAGATAGTCCGTTTATAGCAAAATTGATGAGTTTCTTCCGTTTTTTCTGCACATAGAAGAGATTCACTGCGGTTATCAACACCTCATGCGCTGGAGGTGCTGCGCCATCCTCCTGATTCTCAATTGCCTCATCCAAAAGAAGAAACGTACACTTCGGTATGGACATGTCAAGTGTAAACAAACGCAAATGATGTTCCGCGCCCTTCTGGCTTTCCGCTGCTTCTTCTGCTGGTGTTGGGTCAGGAGGGATGCCCATTGCATGGTAGCCCACTGCATGAGTATTAAGCGCGTTGACAAAATGCTGAGCCTCTTCCGCGGTCTTGAGCCTCACACGGAGATGACGACATGGACGTGTTCGAGAGGCCACGTAGATAATCCTAAACGCGCGTTTCACTTCCTCTTCTTCTTCCTCCTCACGACTATCCGTATGCGCTTGACACCATTCTTCTACTAAAGCTTCAAGTAAAGACATGCTTCCAAGAGGTGGAAACTTATATTTTCCAAAGAGCACCTCCTTCGCCTTCAATACACCGCGTCTGTACTCATGTGAAATGCCACCAGACTCAAGAAATAAACTCACCTCCGAGGCATATTGGGCAATGTGTAGATGCCCTCGACAAAGTTCAAAAAAGTGACTCGGAAAAGAAGGACGCTTGCCGTGATAGAGAATCATTTTTCCTGTCGCCAATTCCACGCGGCGGTAGGTATCTATCACTTCAGGTGCCTGCATTTTTTCGCGGTAAAATTGCTCCTGCTTCCACCATGGGGAGGGTTCATGTTCGACAAAGTATCGCTCATCTACAGTAAGGACTTGGGCATGGAATATCATGCTGGGTGAGGCAACCGACGCCAAAGAAACGGTATTAGTGGCTGCCAGTTGAAAGATTCTCTGACAAATATCTGTCATTAAAGAAAAAAAATTGCACAGTACAGAAAGACTCTGCCGTGAGCATCGAAATTGCAGTGGATGAGCAAACATAAGTGATGCAGAGAAAAACGGTACAGAGGGACTGCGTTGCATCATAACACTCTTCTTGACGCACAGTGTAAAAGATGGAAGAGACATAACGCGTTCCCAATGCTTTTCGGATTTGTCGTCTTTGTCACCATAGACACTTGCATCGGCACTCACGGGATTCAAGAGAGACTCCGCCGTTAATCCTTCAACAGTGACATGTACGGTATTTACCCAGTGATCTGCATCGTCACCAAAGGTGTCAGATATTCCAGTAAGGGTCTGTATGCGCCGCCGTCGCTCAAGCTTCTTTGCAGGATCATTTCTCACTTCCAATTGCTCCACTCTGATGCGAGTTAGCTGCCGCTCAGCCTCTGAGGCAACGATGCGGACGTCGTGGAGTAGTATTCGCCAACTGCATAGAAACTCCCGCTCCACCCTCATCATTAGCACAGCCCGCTGTGTTGTGGAGTCCATCGTCTCTTGTCGCCGCTCGCAGGATGGGCGTACACCTCCCAAGGTCGCAGGTAATGCAGCAGACAACGACGAAAATAAAGTGGCAGACGGAGGGCGAGCAAACTCAATGCAGGCCTGAAGAAAAGACGCATCCAAATTGCAGTCCATGGGACCCCATTCCAAGCCAATTTCATACGGCATCACTCCAGTTTCAGCGTCATACTCCGCCAAGCTACCAGCGTAATGCCGCTTCAAGAAAAGCAACATTGCAGGCACATTTTCACTGTCGCGTGTCACACATCGTTCCCTGGCCACACGTATAACACTCACCGCACGCGGTTTTTCCGCTAAGTGTGCAAGCACCACGTACTCGTCAAGAGAAAAATTGAAAGAAAAGCGCCGAATAAACATGTAGGCCAAGTTGGCGTTAAACCTTTCTATCGCCAACGTGGCAAATGGTGCACGTTCCCCAGTACTCTCGCATAACATTAACTCGAGACCGCTTATATGAAGATAAACCTGCCATTGAAGCTCCCCAAGGCTTCTGTGTGACGTGCCACCAACATCGGAAAGGCTTTCAACTTCACTCTCGGGAATACCAAACTCCTTGGCAATGGCGTGACGTTGCGCAAGTGTCCAACGCTCTGCATATACAAGCTGAAACATCTCTTCCACCTCTGCCTGAAGGTCAGTGACATCCTCGTCAAGCGCCTCACAAGCGGTGTTCCGTGTTCGTGAAAAAAATGACCAACTCCACCAACTTGAGCCGCCTTTGCCTCGTGCCTGATCCATATCCATGGCATTTCCCACAATTGACGCACACTCTCGTTCTCCAGTTTTTTCTTCAGCTGCTTCTTGTTTTTGTTGCCGTCGTTTCTCCAATATGATGTCCCTGTGTTCCCGCTCCAGACGCGCTCGATGGTAAGCGAGTCTCCGTGCTAGTTTGATAGACTCAATCGGCAGTTCTATCTCCAATTCTCGCAGTCGCAACGCCTCTTGCATTGTAAGTTCCGAAAGCCAGTTGGCCCCCAGTCGTCCTCGCCTGGTGCGTTTGAAAAGTGTCATGTACTCTTCTCTCGCTGCCTTGAGATGTTTGTAGTCTTCCCAGACAAACACGCGGCGCTCGCGATACCGCCGTATACGATGCAGCGTTACATGAATAGCGTAGACCCACCACGCACGCGCATTGTCGGTGGGCCTTCGTTTGTCTGTGCCCACAGGTCTAAACTGTCGCAGCACGTCGTACTCCTCCCCGTCACGTATCTCACGCCACAGGGCACATAGGGTTGCCCATTCTTCACGCGACAGTGCAGCACATAGAGCAGCCAAGTGTAGATCGATACGTGCTGCTGGGAGGTCGGTGCGGTATGGCACAGGCTGATACTGCACACAAGCCATTGCGCCAAATGGGGAAATAAAACTCTGAGACCCCGATGATTGACGCTGCGGCAACGGTGAGGGTGTGACATGCTTAGACATCCTCCTGACTTTCTCTAATGGTGTCCCCTCCGTCTCCTTTAGGGCATCTGAAACATGACTTTCCTCACGATCGCTTCCAGCCCCTACCACCGTACGGGATGTAGTCGCATTAATTAGAAACTGCACCCCCTCCAGCACCACCTTCTTGTACAACACTCGATCCCTTGCTGCGGTAAAGTGCGGATTGAAGTTTGCATCACACGCATACGTCTGAAAACAATCCAACACAATAGCAACAGAATGGTAGTCTTGGCCCACACATTGGCCCTCTCCTGTGTCCACGCCTCCCCCTAGAGGCATAGCAACCTTCATACTCCACAACGATATCCTTAAACATCAGTTGAACATTGTTTAGTATGACAGCCTTTAAACGTGCTGCAAAAGTTACGTCCTTCTGAGCTTCCACATACGCCTCTTCCTCTTCCTCTTCCTGTGCTACGCCCTCTGTAGAAACTTTGTCGTGGGTTGAGGAAGCGGTCTGGGCCGTCGTTTCCTCCTCTGCTAGTTCTTGTTGCAACAGCTCCTCAAACAAGTTTAGTTGATGCAGCTTGCGTTCATATACCTCTTGTTTTTCACGTTCCGGGTCATACCCTGCCGCAGTCTTTTGCTGCAGCACCACGCGCACCTTTTGTACTGCCACCACCACGCACTGCGACAGTAACCGCGTCCATGGAATGGTCACGGTCATTTCTTCAATGAATCCCTCCTTGACGCAAACGGCCGTATCAAACGCCCGCAAAGCGTCCCTACGGAAGCGCAAATTCGTCAGCTTCACATGCCCACTCCACAAGGACACCTTCACCTGCTCCCTGTTCACATTCTCAAAGTAGTTCCCCAAGTGGTTTGTGACGAGACCTGCCACAAATTTGTTAAACATGAAAAACAAAGCAGCTCCAAAACTAGGATACAACCAAAACAAGAAAAACCAATAAACAAATAAAAATCAGAACAAAACAGTATTATTCACAAGTCTTTAGTTAGCTTCGCGTAAAGGGCTTTGTTCGCTTCCCGCTGCGTGGAAATAGCCGTTTCAAGCAATTAGGCACGAAATATGCTGATACTTATAAATGTATATGAAGCAGGTATACATGCATATGGGGACGTCTGGCGTGTATGTATGTAGGTGTGTGTGACAGGAGTTACTGGGGCACCAACAATGCAGAGAATAAATACCACCACTGCACGTGTTCTTATCGTTCAGCTTCCCACACCTCCTGAAGAATAGCACCAATCGCCACACCCTTCGCTCCTCCTTTCCTGCGTATATGCCTATATCTTTACCAGGCGTAGTAATACACCTGGTCACTCAGTAATGGGTGCGCAACTGCTCCACCAACAGTGAGGAAACCCTTAGGGTAGAAAAACAACAAGACGAGGAAGAACACCTGTTGACGAGGATCACACAGCAGAGAAGAAATAAATTTGTTTGTGCGGAGAATTAAAAACACAAGCAACAAAAAATAATAACGAAGAAAGAACAAAAACAAAGAAAAAGAGGGGGGAAAAAATAGGTGTAACATCAACAAAAAACACGCACACAAAACAAGTTTTAACGGACGCAAAAGTACTGCGAAGAAAGAGCAAACAAAGCAGTATAAGTAACTGAGGCACACGCACAAACGCCAAGAGAGGATCAGGTGCCGCATGAGTGTGAATAACAAAACGATAAATATAAACACAACATAAAATTTATTTTTATTGTCCGTTTTTCACATGGAGGATCCAGTGAGAACTGAAACAATGATGAACCAGTACACTGTTTCCGCCTGCTGCGCCTTTTTCGCTCGCTTCACTCCTTGTCGCGACACCTCTTCCTTATTGTCACTTCGAACCGTTGACGGCTGTTCAATCCACACTGACCCGTTCTGCAGCATCCGTTCAAGTACAGCCTGAACACGGTGAGGCCGCCACATCAGACGAGATTCAAGTTCGCTTTGCGTAAACGCCACACATTGCACAGCAAGAGGGATATCCTTCGTGCCACTTTCGACGTATGTTTCAACCTCAACAGCGTCACGGTGAACAGCGGGGGCCAGTAACGCGCGAGAGATACCCACGCGGCTGGATGTCACACCACCAAGGACCGCGCTATTAGAAACACTTTCGCTCTTCACTCTGGTAGATTGATAATGCAAAATCTGCTGCGCACGCTTCTTCATCACGCAGTCTACAAGTGGTGCATCGTCCGCGCTCCGCGTTCCATCCGGTGTGGTTTGAATGTAACTCACACCAGCAAGTTTTACCACGTTGTAGCCCTCTCCTAACACATGTAGCTTATCAAGAGCCATGCAAATGTCAGCCTCAGTGATAGCACTTTGTCTACCTTCGTTACCCTTAGACCCATATTGCTGTTGCATAATATACACGATACGATTCAATGGAACGTATGAACCACAAAACTTCCGCTCCTTCATACATGCCTCCACTACCTTGCCCGCCAAACCATAGTAAAAGTCCCCGAGACCCAAAATACCCGCAAAAATGTTTTTCTTTGAGGAAATAAGATCGATACCAAGAGAATCCGCCATCTGCCGGAAACGCGCGCGAACAATAGGGTCCTCCCTGATATCGTCCCTGTGCTTACGCGCAAGAGAACACAAAGTTTTTTCAAATTCCTCCAGTTGGTCCGCAATCTGCCCCACACGCTCTGCTGTGATTTGGGCCCCCAAATCGGTCATCTGCTGCTGCGTTTCATTTTTTCTCTGAACGTGTGCAACTCCAATGCCGCGGCGCATCGCTTACCAGAACAGGACAGAGCAGACTACCCTCAAACAATCTACCAAACACTAACCTTGTCAACAGACTCACAGAAAACAAGAAAACACACGCATACAAACAGCAGAATATAAAAATATATAAAAGGCCAGCAACAAAAAAAAAAGGTGGAAAAAAAATCATTCATGAATAAATCTATTTATCTTCCCTACCCTTTTTTCATACTAAAATCTTCGTCCCATCACAATGTCCTACGTATCTATGTAATGTACGGCACGAGTGTGTGGATAGGTAAAATAAAAACATCGAGCAATAAAAACAAGCAGAAACAAAAAAAACATCAGCTTTAACACTTACATGTCAACAAAACACAATACTCCACATCCTAACCACCGAAGTGGCCACCGCTCCCCTGCAAACAATCAATAAATACCATAGCACACAAATCAGTTGCACAATAAAAAAAAAATCCTAAAACACAACAATCATATGACATCTCACAACAAAACGGAAAATAAAACAAAAAAAAACTAATACAATTAGCGCAAAGAGTGATGCGAAACAAAATTTTCATCAACAAAAAAACAAAAAGAGGTAAAACAACACGTTCCATAATCACGGGCCAAGTTAAGAAACAAATTAACACCTCTGTCAGTAAGGTCACTTGTCATAAAAGCGCTGTGAAACGTCAAAAGAATCTTGTCATCACTGATGTCCCACAGCGAGGAGTCGGTGGAAAGTGGCTCCTGCTCGAAGACGTCCACGGCAGCACCGCGGATGACGCCGTCACGAAGCGCACGCGCGAGATCCTCCCCGCTCGTCGTGATGCCGCGGCCAATGTTGATGTACACTGCACTCGGCTTCATCATGGCAAAGCGCTGCTTGTTGAAGAACAGCTTTGTCTCCTCCGTCCCTGGGAGAATATTGACCAAGACGTCGGACTCACGGATCACGCGGTCCCGCTCGGCATCACCGTACACCATATGCACGCCGTGCTGGTCCTTCTTCTCGGAGGGTGCGGACCGCCTCACGCCCGTCACCTCCATCCCAAACGCGGTGGCAAGGCGGGCGGTGGCCTGCCCAATGTCGCCGTAGCCAATGATGCCCAGCTTCTTCCCGCGCAGCTCAACCATGTTGAAGGGACTCCCACTTGCGCTCCGCGCGGCTCC